TAAACGTGAAAAACTTTCGTTGGACGAATTTTCTTGTAAACTTCATATTTACTGAGATATCGCACTTTGACGCACTAATGAGCAACCCTGTATATGTAAGCAATAACAAATATTTAAACTCGAAAGTGTGGATAAGGGCTCTAAGCCTGTTCGATTCCCATTACATCTTTTGCCACCATCAGTCCAATATACGCGTTCTGGAACGCAAAAACTTGGGGGAAAAAATAAAAAACGACATCCTTGAGGCAATAATCAGCCCGTATGTCGTAATTAGATGCGAGTTCGACCCCATAAAAGCGGCCCCGTCCAACGTCATCTGGTTTTTTTACTATTTCCGCATAATCGTAAAAGGGCCGTCGAGACGCCGTTTCGCGCAAACGGTGTCCGGAATTTGCCTTTCGGACATTTATTGCTCTGAGAAGGGCTCGCTGGGATGGACAGAACACTAGTTTAGCTAATTTATAGCCGTTTGATTTCGCTCGCATTATTCCGGTTCCGCATTTTTCCTGCAAGATGTTATAGTACATTCTGCTCGTCTGGGATAAAGCACAAACATTTTTCTGCCATATGTTGACCAGCTATAAAAACTTTCAAACTTTTGAAAAAACTGATTTCTTTATTCAAAGATGTGGCAAGGGATGCTGTTGAGCTGATCCTTCATTGACTGTAGGGAAAAATAATGGTAATTTTCTTCTCCCACACAATAAAATATTTGTTATCACAAACAGCGGAAATCATACAATTCGCCTTTTTCTTTCCGTTCCAACATGAAAAAATAAATGTTGCAAAGACGCGACATCCGTGGCAAGCCCACAACAATAACATGTTTTTTTCGTCAACTTTTTTCAGCCTGTTTTAGGTACGATTTTGCATTCAAAACCAAACAGTTTTAATTGGTCATCCTACATGTAACTGCACTGTTTAATTCTAAATCAAAACTCTGATATAGTTTTTAATAATAAATTGTAATAGTTGCACTAATCAAGCTGAAGTAATCGCTCCCTCCAATCTTTTTTTGCAGCCACAAGATGAAGTTTTATTATTCAAACTGCTTGAAGAACTTGGTGCTTTAAAAATAACCTTAGACGATTTAATTAAAACTGACATGGGAAAAATTGTTAATCTGCTTAGAACCAGGACGCAAAATAAGGCAATATCTGCCGTTTGTAAAAAACTAATTAAAAATGGAAAAAATCTTTACCTTCTTTCGATAAAACCGATAAAAGTAAGTTTCAGTGGAAATTTGAGAATAAAATATAAAAAAGTAGCAAAAAAACAAACGAACTTTGAAAACCTGATAGTCTCAAGCGATGTTTTGAAAATAAGGAAATAATTATTATTCTTAATAATATTCGCTATATCAACGAACGACATAACTATTAAACGTATTCAACATAAATTAGATTAAAAAGTAAAAAAAACTATTGGAGAAGCTGTTATATACAATTTTTTTTTCAAATTAGAAGAATTAGTCAAAGGTGTCAACCATGTTCGTCAAAAGTTCAGGAAAATGTTACTTGCTGCGATCAACCTCAATTCTGGTGCCATCGAGGCAAAACGAGCATTATGTTTAGCCGTAGACCTGAAATCTCAAATTTTTATTCAAATCACCGACAGACGGTACACAAATAGGGTCAATTCCAGGATTTTTTATTTAAAGAAAAGTCATCTTGAGAGGACAATTTAGTCTGGGCATTTTGAGTGCTAAAAAACTTGCAAGTATGAGTGCAAAGAGCAAAGAACATTGAGGTAGAAAACATTCTGAAGGCGCAGTTGGCTTTCGTTCCAGGTATGCGGTAACACCTTAAAAAAGTAATATGTGTTATTCACACCAAAAGTTTCTCATAGTGACTTTTTTACTCTACATAAATATTTCCTTTCTGTTAAGGTTCCTAAACAGTCATGCTCAAATGGAAAATGCCAGGAGAGAAATTGTTCCTACTTTCAGTCTCAGACAAGGTCAGCTGATGAACCAATGACAACTTTTGCATCTTGTAATGTATGTGGTAATAGATGGAAATTTTATTCTGTGTTTTAAGTCTATATTCCAAATATAACCATTTATGGCTTCAAACCACAATTCTAATTTGTGTGCAGAAAACATCTAAAAAATGTAGAAAAACTATATAATCTTCTTAGAATCCGCAGTCACCTGACCGATATCAGACATACCTACTCTAGGAAAACATAAGTTTTTTTATTTCAAATTTTAAACTACATGATTTTAAGTTAAAGTTTCGAAAAAAAGTTAAATTTTCAAACTAAGGGTTTTTTTGGTTATATTTTTTGTACTAGTTGCCGATGGTTTCCAGAGTTTTGTTGAGGCTCTGGACAAATAGTATTTTTCTTTTGGAAATTCTTTAAAAAAAACACAGAATAAACAAATATTTCACACGTTTTATTCATTTTATCTAAAATCTTGAAATATACTGTTTTAAAAGAACATACATGCTTAGTAAAATCTGAAATTTTTTATATCAACTTTTGAACCACGTGATTCTAAGTTAATTTTGAGAAAAATTAACAATATTTCCGTTTTTTTATATTTCGGAAAGCCCTCTAGTTAAATTTTTTCCAAATGAAATATCAAGTTCGAGATTTTCTGTAAATTTTCCAAATCTGCCAATGAAATGAAATCTCTGTTGTAACTACAAATCTCTACTAATCTCTGGTGCAAACTCTACTAATCTCTGTGGCAACAAAAAAAATTCAAACTGGTTGAAAATTAAATTTACGGGCGCAAAGTTTACCAGATAATATTCATTCAATGTGTTACAGTCAGATACTCTTACAGCTTTTTTCTACCTCACATTAATGTAATATTTACACTTGCATGATTATACCTACTGATGTTAATTATTTATCGACTACAAGTTTTCGTTAAAAAGCATCAGTAATTTTACTCTTATCTTACTATTTCTAGCTGTACTGAATTCTATTCAACATATATTAAAGGTAATTTTTATTTTTATCGCGAATATTTCGATCTCTAGTCATGTTGACTAGTTTTTTTTATTCAAAAAAGAATAATTTTTGATTAAAATTAAGGAATTAAGGGATTAGAGTTGACGAAACAAAACTAAGCAATAAGGAAGAAAAAACCACTTGCAAAAAATATTTCTGAAATAGAAAAAGTAACCCTCATTTTCTGCAGCAGAATCATGTTTATCGTATTTATTAGTCCTATCTCAAAAGGTAAGTTAATTTTCGTCTACTGCGTGTCACACATGTCCAATTAGACCGCTTTGCGGAAAGAATAGGAAATTGGGTGTAACAGGACTGAATAAACAGTCCTGACCGTTAAATAAAATCAGACACCCCTAAGACGTCGTGATCGGACTAGACAACAATGTTTGTTATCGAAAGAAATAACCATCGTCCCATTGTTTTCATAATTCCAAATCAATCAATAATTAATTCGTAAAATAAATATATAGATATTACAAGAGGAAAAATTGTCTGATGTTGATTTTTAAAACCTCATGTAAGGGTAATTTTGAGGAAACTTTCAAGAAGCAACTTGAATAATTAAAATTCTAAAACTAAAAAAAAATGGATTCAAATAATACCACAAAAATAATATAATTTTATCAATTATATAGATCTGTTTGACTACATGGACTACTTATCTAGTTCAGTACTAGATCAATAAACTAGCATCTATCAAAATCTATTGCCAGATCCTAGATTCTAGAACCTTAAAATGAACGTTTTATTTGCTAATCAGAAAGAAGCTTTCTTGTGGCTTAAATGTTTTGATTTCGGTTTTTTCTTCTGGATTCATGCCACTGCCACGAGCGCATTTGAATGTTGCTTCGAAATCTTTGGAATTCGACATCATGGTGGTAACTCGGAAAACATTCGGGATATTTGGCGATTCGTATAATTTCTGAGCCATTTCTGTTAGAGTAAGTGGTTGACAATAATCTGAAATTAAGAGTCAAAAAGTTAGATAATAATTCATTAACTTTAAAGTACAGTTGCGATTGTATCTACTATTTATTTTAAAAATTTTTAAAGATTTTTGTCTAATCAATTAGAAGCTAATAAAAATATGTAGAGCAGTTACTAATGCCAAAATAAAAACTCTATCGTGTTCACTACCTAGGAAATTATACATTTTCTGTGAAATGTTGACTAGATAGATTTCTCTAACTTTATCAACAAATAGCGCTAATGTTATTTTTATCGATTTTTTTGTGTCTTTAAAATTTGATTCTTGAAGAATTGCAAATACGCGTACTCTTATTCCTGATGTTAATTGAACCAAGAAATGCATTTTGTTCGTTCTGCCTACAGAAAAACTACAGTTACTGAAGATTTCCCAATAGAATATTATTGTAGAAACACGGTTTAGCTTTTTGAAACTGAAGAACAAAATATGAACAGTAGAAGAAAGTTAGTTTGATTGTAAAGAAGATTCTTATGTGCTACTTATTTGAAACTCCTGCGAACGAGTTTCTCGTACAATTACAAATTATTACAAAAAAAATCAATTAAATTACACGTAAAATTGAAAATTTTAAATCGTACCTTGAGCAATTAGTATAAAGAACTGTTGTTTAGTAGTTAGATCATTAGCAATCCATGGCAATCGATCATTACCTGCATATGACGAAAAATCGTCAAATGCTATTTGCAATGCTAAATTATCGGCTAGCAGTTCAGAAGCTGAAGCATTAACTAATTTTTTCCATCTTCCTGGATCCTCCTAAAATGAGAATTGCAAATTTCAATATACAGATATATTTAAAAACACTCAAAATACAGCAAAGCCAATCAAGATTTTAGTAAAAGATTTTAATAACACATTGAATAAGTGACCACCACAAAGGGAAACTTTTTTGGCACTAAAATCTCCATTAAATTTCATTCACTCATAGAATGAGGTTCAAAAATTAATGGTAAAGGCTGGAGTTCAGAAAATTCAACCCAATTTCCAGATTTTGAAGAGCAAACCGACGTTTTAAACCCTGCTGAAACTCTCTTGCCGATATCTTACGCTATTCTAAGAAAATTAACTATGAAAAAAATATTGCAAAGTAACCAAATGACGAAAGGCTCGAGCAAGTTATATCTTGAAGGCTGGAATTAAACTAAAACAAATTAAAATTTTCAGAGTTTATTACCGAAAACTTTTTTAATCAATTTCCAACATTCACTTGAATTTTGAAAAAAAATGTTTTTTAAGCTTGAAGCGCAAAAATGACCTAAAATTAAAACATGTCTAGGAAAAGCTGGAATTAAGCAGATGCAACTAAATCTTAAGCGTTTGTTAAGTAAAACCTTTTAATGGACTGCAGTACTCCCTTTGCCCATATCCAACCTCTTATTTTAAAAGTCGCCTTTGAAAGTTAAATGACAAAAAGTTCGATAACCTTAAAAAATTCATCCAAAAGCTGGAATAAAAGAATTGCAACAAAATTTCCCAATTTGGTAAATGACCCCCCGTTAATTGATTGCTGAACTCCACTTGCCTACTTTTGCAAAAACCTAGTCTTCAAGTTTGAGTTAGTTAGTGTGCAAATGACCAAAAAGCTTGTTAGAATTCAAAAACTCATCATCAAAGCCAACGAAATAAGGAATTTCAAACACCGTAAGCTAATCTCACTTACATTATAAGTAATTTGTTGTCCATTCCAGTTCCGGCTTCCTTCAGAAATTTCCAAATTACTTCTTAAACTATCCTTAAATTCGGTCCAAAAAGATGTATCAATACGCCCAGTGACTTCATCTAAAAACCCAGCTATGGCCCTACTAAGGTGAAATCTTAGGTAAAGTTCTGTTATATATGCTGGATTTTGGTCGTCCTTCAAGATTCTATACAAGAAGTTATTTGATACGACTAGAAATTCAATACTTAGTACGTGTAACTCCATGTGCAATTTAACTTACAAACTGTTTCACTGTTGGGAATTACTGCAGGATATTCATACTGAGAAAAAGTACTGAAAATTAAATTTATGTTATGATGCATTGAAGCAAATGATGAAAAAATTGAATTAATAAACATGGTGGAAAGCATATACATTTTTCGTTTTTTTTTAACAGAAGATGCATTCCAGAGTAAAAAATACGACTTCGAAACTTCTTCTCAATGAACTTCAAAAAAGTTCATTTTGTTTTGTATCCAGCCATATCAGTAGCTTGGGATTTTGTACCGACTGCAAATACTCTCACTCTGTTGCCATCAATTTTCGATGAACAAGGATGAATTTAAAAATATTTTAAACCAAATTTAATCAGAGAAATAGAAGTAAAACAAAAAAATAAACTTACAGATTGGGATTGATCGGTTGGTCGATCAAACATCTTCTCGCATCCAACGACACTAATAAATACGAAATATAGTCATTACCAGGTAGAGGTAAAGGGTCTTTCTTATTGTTCCAATCGCTTCCAAAAAACGAAAGCTTTAGATTTCGCAATCGTGCTTTTAAATATCGTTTAGTATGATTTTCCATGCCAATTATTCCATCAGTTAATAGTCGCACAAATTTGTCTTTTAGCAGTTGAAACACGGTCTTAACACGATCTATTGCCAAAGTCTGATGGAACTCGGCTGCAAATATTGATTCTGTTATCTCCGGCATTAAATCCTGGGCTTGTTTGATGCAAAAATTTTCTGGGTTTGGTTTTGAAACGACCAGACTTTGATAAAACTGGAACTGGTAGAACTGTTTCACTTTGTGCAAAACTTCATCTTCATCATTTGTTAATCTAAAATGTTTCAGTCATCAAATCAAAGTCTAAAGCAAAAAAATTAGAAACGATCAATATTAAATATATACGAATAATTGACTGAGAATTCAGATAAAAAAGTATTGATTTGCGAAATTAGAAAGGAGTTTAATGATACTCACCTATTTTTTAACTCTGCCATGACATCGTCAAAATATGAATTCTGCATATACAGATAAATGGGCATTGACTGTTTGAACTTATTGTGGAACATTACGTTGAAAAATACACCCCAATCAATACTGCTGTATTTCTTATTCAAACTTGCAATATCGGTTTTGGTATATCGCTGATTGGTTAGAGCGAATTGAATGTCAATATCTGGAATTCGTTTCTAAAACATCAATTTTTAATTTTTTTAGTAAAATTTTTAGTTTGTTGTCACTCCTCAAATTTAACATTGCTTAAAATGGTCACATAAAAGTTGCACACTGCAAGTGAATCTATTTAAAAAAATGTGGATAAATTAAAACGAATTTAGTATGTTAAAACATAACATTCACATTTGTACTTACCATATTCAGTGGAAAATCGTCACCTTTGTTGGAATGCTAAAATAATAACCAGCATATACTAACTAATTATAATTAAAATTGAAGTAATAAAAATGCATTTACTTTGACGTTTTTTGCATCAATTCAAATATAAAAATATTTATTTATACAGGGTGTTCCGTAAATATGTTAAAATATTTTAACCGCATGTTCTCCTAGTCATTGTATAAAGGGGTCTTCCTGATAATTTTTTTAATTTGAGGTTCCGTTGTTGAGATATTTTATTTCCAAAATGGCGGAAAATATTAGTTTTTGTTGTTTTCGTTTAAAACGATTAAACATAGAAACTTCAATTTTGGCATACATTATAAGCTAATTAAGTTCCATTTTATGATAGGGTTTCGTGGTCCAGTTTGCTATTATACAGGGTAGAAATGTGGAACCCCTACTTTCATTTTGTTCCGACCTTTTTTGTGTATACTTTTCTCGACATAATTGGGTTAATTACTACAAGTTATTTACCAACTTTTCTATCTCTTATTGTTTTTTCCTAAGACCACTAGTTTGTCCGCAAAACAATAAAATCGTTTTCTTTGCCGTTCTCAAAATGTGTAAGTAATTAAGTTAATTTTTTAAAATCTAATAACGTTTTCGTATAATAATTTTGGTACGCAATATTAGTTGATTACTAACAACCTAAATTATTTTTCTAAATTGTGTATTTTGGTTCAGATTACAGTTAACAATAACATGGTAACAATAAGCGCAACCATATAAACAAACAAAATTAAATTTAAATAACCATTCTAATGTTAACTTAGCAGCTGTTAAAATTGGTCACTTTGACATTTTTGGCATAATCGCAGTATTTTAATGAAATTAAAATTTACAGACCGTAAAGTTTGCACTGAAGTTCCTATTTCGTTAGAAATATTAACTATGTTTTCTTGAAGTTCTTCGATTATATTCACTTCTGTTGAATATACCGTATTTTTTAAGTGGCCCAAGAAGTAAAAATCAAGCGCGTTTAGATCGGGAGATTTAGGAGGCCAGTTTATAGGAGCTTCTTGACCTCTCCCAATCCAACGGCTTGGAAAGTTTTGATCAAACCGAAACGATTTAATTTTTTTTGCGGGCAAACTAGTGGTCTTAGGAAAAAACAATAAGAGATAAAAAAATTGATAAATAACTTGTAGTAATTAAAACAATTATGCTGATAAAAGTTTAGGTGTACACAAAAAAGTTCTGAACAAAACATAAGTAAGTGTTCCAGAGTTCTACCCTGTATAAAAGTAAACTGAACTACAAACCGCTACCATAGAATGGCACTCAATTAGCTTATAATGTATACCAAAATTGAAAATTATATGTTTATCGTTTCAAAGAAAAACAACAAAAACTAATATTTTTCGGATTTTCCATTTTGGAGATCAAATATCTCAAAAATAAGACCGCAAACTAAGAAAATTCTCAAGAAGACCCCGCTCTAAAATGACAAGGAGAACACGCTGTTAGAATATTTTAACATATTTACGGAACACCCTGTATAATGTTTTCCTTATATGTTTCATGTGAGTGAGCATATGATGTATCTCATTCACTATTAGGAGTGCATAACTAATTCTTTAACACATTTAGAAGACAAAACTATTTAAACACTTTTTTTGAGCAAAAATCCTATTATTTTCAAGCGTTTATATGATTTAAACAAAATTATATGTTACATTTTTGCAAGATCAAGCACTTTTTCGAATTAGTACCAAAACCCAATTTTATTAATCAAAAATGAGTTGAGTCTACATACAGTTTTTCAACGAAATGTCTAAAGAAATAATCTCTTAAATTAATTATTAAACATATTTGAAGAAAATAAGAAGTAAGCAAGACAGATGCAAATAATAAAGACAAATTAACATTTTTTATATTAAACCCGGCCAAAATTGTTATGGTGGGTCCAGACCTGACGAGCCGAGCCTGAGCCGCGGCAAATTCCTTTGAGGTTTCGTCGAAATACCGCCAGAAAATGAATCGTCTATCGGTGTTTTGACAAAACATCAAATAAATCTGCCGCGGTCCAGGCTCGGCTCAGGCTCGCCTCGTCAAACTGACCAGTTTGGTTGTAACCTACCTCAATACGTTTACTTTCATTACGTGTTATAAATAAAAAATCTTTCATCTCTCGAATTGTTGCCTTTTCGACACAGCTTTTGTATTTCTCATAAGCGCTTTTCAAATTCGATTCAGCGTGTGTAATACTGCTAATACTCATACAATATTCTTTCATTTCACTCTCAATAGACCAGTTTTGCAGTATTGCAGTGTTATAAAAATCGCTGGGTGGTAAAAGCTGAAATTAAATATTTAATATTTTTTTACAAGAAGTTGCAGATTTTTACCTGCAATCCAAACCCTTCAGACGTGCTAATCAGATCAAATCTAACTTCGAAAAATGGGGTAGTTTGTCTGGCCATTAGTGAAGCTAATAATACCGTTAGATTGTTTGAGCGAATATTTGTGCTAAGGACTAAAACAATCAATTGTTATTAAATACTGTTTAGTTTATAAGATTTGGAAGAATTCCTACTTTGTTCGATTTTTTCCTGATATCCATACTCAAAGCCATATTGGAATTGTACACAACTTTTCACAAATCTCCTAAAATGTTCTGCTTGTAAATTATTAGGCGGATTGTCCAGGGTTTTTCTCAAAAGCTTCATTTTTGCCGAAAGCATAGTCTTCCTTGTACTCCTGCCACATGCAAATTGGTAAAAATCTTCGCATGAATCTACAGAGTGATCCATCTGTTGAAGAATATCGCCGACCTTTTCTTTGCATTGAAAATCTTCGCAGATATTTGTTGAGTTTGAAACGAGCAATTCCATGTTATCAACCAAAGCTTTGTCTATGAGATTGCTATGCTCTGTAGAAGTTGTTGTCCAGTTTCGCATAGAAATTGGTGTAGAGTTTCTTTGATCTTCAATCGTATGGGTTGTAGGGTTCGTATGCCCTACATGGGCTGAGCTGGTTGTAGTGGATGTTGGTTTTGGTGTTGTTGAATTATATAAGTCACCTGTAATAAGAAATATGTTAATTAATTTGCTTGATTGTTCAGTATTTTTCATTTTTTAATGTTCTGAATTTTCAATATTCTGCATCAGGAAATGAAACTGAATACCTGAAATAAATTGAAAACGACGACGAAAACTCCCAAGGAAACTTCCAACATGAAAAAAAATTGTCTACAAAAAGTCGAAAAGGTCTTGAAATTAATTTGCTAAATTTGGAGAGTTTGTAATCTGGAACTGAAGAACTGTGACTACTAAATGCAGTTTAAAAGTGGTCAAATAAGGGCTATTTAACATGTTTTTGTTGAAATTAAATTTAAATATACCATTTTATGGATATTTTGGAAATTATATTCAAAGTGGAAACCACATGAAAAGTTTGCTGAGATATTCCTAAAAATAATGTAACACTAAAAAGACATTTTCATTTAAAAAAAATTCCGCCAGATAATATTTACCGCCCAACATAATATTTACCAATATATTACCGCCCAACAATAAACAAATATTTTGCAGAATAATTTGGTTACTTAAAACTTCTTCTCAAACGTACTTATGCTGGTAATAGTACTTTATAATAAAACCATTAAATTGGGCAAAATATCAAACTGAAGATACCGTTGGCTCTTTTTTTGAAGTGTTTGTCTTGCATTCGTTGAGAACATCTTTGGAAAAACAAGAACATTCTAATTTGGAAAACGCTCTTAAAATTAATTTAAGAATACCATCCTATATAAAAAGTACACATAAATTACTAGACATTTTATAAAAAATAACCTTGTAGATATACGTTATAAATAGTTACTGTTTCCTATCAACTTTACTTACTAGTCTTGCGAACAGTGCTGCTTTCTTTGCTAGATCCATCCGACGAACTTAATTCAACAGTTGTGGTTAATTTTGGGGTCTGTTCTTCAGACTTTCCATTAGTTGTTTGTTCCTCTTTTTCAGAAACTAGTTTGCTATTAATTTCGGAGTAATTTTTATGCGTTAGTTCAGTTGTGCCATCAGAATTTAAACGCTCATTAGTCGATGCCTCTGTAGACTTTAAAGTTTCAGCAGTTTCAAGATTTGAATCAGTTGAATGTTCCAATAACGAAGGCTCTTCTGAAGATGTAATTAAAATATTTGTTGACGTATCCAGCTCATGATAATTATCATCAATTTTGGTTTTATTCGTTGTGGTTTGGAGTCCAGCATTTGACTAAAAGTTTAACAAAAATGCTCTTAAGCGTAAAGTAGATTTTTGCATGCTGGTATCTTCAATATCGAATGTTTATGTCATTACATAGTGGTGAAATAAAAAAGTTTGGAACCTAAAAAGGCTATTAAAAAAAAACAATTTAAGTTGTGTTTTGTTATTTTTACTTTCACGTTTGACTTAGATACTAATATGATTTATATTTATTATTAAAAGTAATTAGCTTATTGAATAAATAAATTTAAATCGTTTTAAATAGTTTTCTGAAATAGCTGAAAAGAAACCAAATTTGTCAGCAAATTAACTGAAAAATTACTGCATGAAGTAAAGTATCAAAAAAGTTTAAAAACTTGAATTATCAGCCAAAAATTATTCATTTCATTAAAATTCATTAAAAACTCAAATTCTTATTTTGCTAAAGGTAAAATCTACCACTTACTGAATCATGCCTGACTTTAGTAACTAAAACAAGTAGACAATAAATCACAACAAACAATATAAGCACAATTAACATAAAGCTTATAATTGCTTTGAAGGAATGATCCCGTTTGTGTTTTGGCGAGCAATAATCTTCGTTCACTCTATAACTTTCCCCGCAACACCATGGCATTTTGTAAAATATATTTCAGCACAATAATGCGATTAACTCTATAATAAAACGTTAAATGGATAGTGCCAGAGTTCAAAGTCTTATACCCTATCAACCAGAATATCTGAGGTTTGAAACCATATTATAGACATCGATCACATTGGCAATTTGAACAAATTGGTTACACGTTATTTTGTTTAATTTTGCTAAAAATGCACCACTAAAATTGGAATATAAATGTTAATGAGCATAGTACAATAATAGTTGCATTTATTATACAGGGTTCTAGATAAGTTCTATATTGTTGAGGCGAATTAATAATTAATAATACAGGGTTATTCACAACCTTATGTAAAAGACTAATATTTGTGCAAATAACTCGAAAACGAAGACAGATGCGAAAAGCTGCAAGAGATCATAAGATTCTTAAATTGAACAACAAATTGTTTGAAGCTCCTTTTCAAGCTCTTTAACGTAAACGTTTGAGTGTGATACGTATATGGTTTTTCGCGATATTAAAACATACTTCTCAAGAGCTCTCTCAAGCTTGAAGCTCTTTTTCAAGCTCTGCTTTCGTTATGATCAATCGACAAAAACTATATCGATTCTCTATAATCGAGAGGATGAATCTGTGGGGAAATACTCGCATTTATTCTGCGTTAATTTGCTCAGCATTTCGATGAATTTTGACTTTTATTTAAAACAGTGTCAAGGGATCAAATGCGGCTTCAAAGGACTAGATTTCGTCGAAGTTCCTTAACCCTTCTAGCTCTACCTAGAATGATGGTTTAAGTGCTGCATATATAAAAAATAAGTTATTTTGTTAATCTAACAATGATTGTCTTCATATAAAGAACTTGTTATAACATGATTGTGACTTGCACATTTTTAAATATAACAACAAATTTATCGTTTAAACTAACGGAAAATTGACTAGTGGTACTCATCTAAATATTGGAAGGAAGTTGATTGCCACATTTTATCAAAAATTTTGACCCAACTTGAAGGTCTATTTCATGCTATAATTAAAGCATGATAAAAAGCACATTTTATCAGTTTCTTTGAGAAAACCAAAGGAAATAACAATGATAAATGTGACGGTGTAGTGGAAAAATGTGCGTAGGTACTAACAATTTCATTTTATTAAAATTTTTTAATCAGTCTACGAAACTTACAGTCAACCAACACTGATCTATAGTTAATTTCTAAGGTTTATTTAAAATTGTCGAAAACGTTTAGAACACGTCTATTAATATTCTATTTGTTTTTGCTTTCGTCTACATATACAGGAACTGTATAATAGAAAATTGTACAGCCCTTCCATGCCACGGCACTTATAAAATGCAGCTTAAAATCGGTTCAAATCAAATCAAAATATGCTTTATTGCCACAAAACATTTTTCTGGGCAAGTTTTTAGTCTGTAACTTTTAAAGGACTTCGTATAAAGTGATTTTTTTACCATGTTAGAGACTAGTTAATGCCCCCAATGATAGAGACTTTAAAACTTGTTTTGCTATTTGCAATGTTCATAACTCCAACACTCTGTATGGCAAAGACTCAAGAATAATTATTTTAGATTCCGTGGACGTTTTACCAGAAAAAGTTCGCTTTAGCGTCGTTATAACTAACCGTTTTTCAGAAAAATATAATATCAATCAAAAAAGTTTATGTATGCAAAGTATAGATAGTTCTTGCGGCTGATTCAGAAGATTGCGAATTTGGACACGAAAATATTTTAACTGGACTTTCTGGCCCTAAAAATATTTATTTATGGACGTTTCTAAAACTTGCTGTTCTTCGCATGAGCTCGTAGCTTTGCATCTCGCACCTCATATTTTTCAGGAGACTTGAATATTTTATTTATTTTTACCATGTGCTGCTGATAGTAGAGATAATGTCTAATATATACTAGAGATAATAGTAACACCACATGAATAGGTTTCATTCCATTCAAATATGAAAAATACACTTACAAAGTTTGAAATTAAACGATTTGAAATTACTTAAATATTGCATGTTTTCTGGAAAACGATCAGATAAGAGTACATTATTCTTTTTAAGCTTCACGTTATCTGAGAATATTCTAGTGTTTTAATCGATGAGCAAAAAGATGAGCATCAATGTGTACAAGCTGGCCGGCCTCTGGTAAACTGGAAAAGCAAAATTAGTTTTAAAGCCACTGACTTAGGCATGACAAGGGACATTAACTTGATTCTATAATATTAAAACATTATAAAATTATAACGAATACTTTAAAAGTATTTTAATCAAAACACATCTTCGCCGGCGGCTTTTAAAGACCCTTTTTTTCAGTTTTGGGACATTGCGAATGGAAACTGTGATCATTGTGAAATCGCGTGTCATATTAAAAAGAAAAATGTTTATTTTTCATAGAATGGAGAGAATCCTGCTTTAATAGAACGTAATGTTTGGTAAAATGTTCTTGTGTTATTTGTCCCTTCTTCTTCTAGTGCAATTAATTCTCTGTCTTGTCATTCTCTTTTTTTTCTTCTTCTCAGCAGTTTCAACTTGAAAATTAGCACGAAAAAAATACTTACTTATATTTGTTAATAGGTGTTCTATAAATATAAATTCGGTCAGTCTCGACTCTTCACCTCATCCATGTCATTGTCATTAGACCCATAATGAGCATCTTATATAACGACTTCGTACGCAAAATGAGGGCGTAACCTTAAAGGTCAACCATATTTGAATAATACTCTTAATCCTCTCTAATCGTCTTTTGATACAAAATTCTTTCAGATATTGTCGTAACTTTTTCGTAGCGGCGAGTGGATATTGCGAAGTGCAATCAGTGGGAGCACGGATTAAAATAATCCATCGAAATACTGAAGTTATAAATTAGGTTTATCTTTCCGTTAATTAGCGATGGGGAAATGATTGTTCAAGATTTGACCTTATATGTTTGTCGATCGGCTGCAACTAACTGTTGACGAAATTTCTTGGTTTGAAAAATGGCAACTTTAAAATGTAACTGCAATGATAGTAAGTTCTGATAGTTTGAAACTTTTCGTATTAAAGGCATGAGTCTCATTCTAATTAAAAGCTATCCAAATGGATAAATATGTTGTGGTTTGGCCAATATTGGCCATTTTAATAGTAACTACCCATGAAATCAACCGTCATCTAAAATTCAAAACTGCAGAAGGTATTTTAATAGAGTTAAGAATTAAAATTCATACATAACTTATTTTGGCTCTAACATAGCTTGCATGCAGCTAAAAGTGACGGAATGGATAACGGAGTTAAAAAATCAGATAGATAGATAGATTTTCATTTCCAATTTCAGAGCAGACCCCGCAGTAGCTAGAAAAATGATGAAAAATAATCCCAAATTATACAATGAAAAAAAAAATCGGAATGAATTTCAGAGAGATGGCACCATGGTACAAATCGAGATTATTGCGGGATATTAAATTAGAAAAACTTCGCCAAACATTACTGCTCATTATAGGTGAAAAGTGATAAAGGTAAGTAGTAAAAAAGCACAAAAAACGCACAGTGATAATTGAGAATAAAGTTAGTTGAAATTACAATATTGCCGAGAGTTTTTATCCCTGTTATAAGGGGAGTAAGAAACTTAACTTTGAAAGCTTAAGGATTGCAAAAAAAATGCTCATTTATTTATTGAATTTTATTATTAGAAAATTGTTGCCATTTTAAATAGAGAGCTTACAAAACTGTATAGACGATTAAGCCAGAACATTTTGAAAAGAAATGCAGCAATTTTAGTATACAATGTTTTAAGTGTCTTTCTACCAATTTTTTTTTATAACATCTTGTGTGATATAAGTAATTTTAAATAAAATCTTATTTTTCTTCTCTTTCCTTTTTTCTTGAGTGCAGTTCTTGAGACTGTAACTTTTACCTTAGCCTTAACTGATTGTGACTTTCACCTCACATTCGTCTCCTATGTCTGTTTCCATGATTGTATGATTGTATGATGTTTCTGAATATTTACAGATCTGGTCGTCTTGGAAGAATACTTTTGGTTATTTTGCTGTCTGCCCTTTTCCTATCGCATATGCTACTGTGAGTCAAAGTGTAAACACATCTTTTGTACCTTTTCGCTTTAACTCTTTTTCTTATCTTTTGAGTTATTCTTGAAACTTTGTTTGCTTTGTCTTTTGCTTTATTTAGTTTTGACTCAAGAGTGGAACAACTTCTCTGGTCACATTGTAATCAGAAGAACAAACATAATAATTGATATTACAACTGCAATAGCACAAAATTAAGCAATTTTTACTGCTAATAACTATCCTTGAACGGAGACTATCTTGCAGTTTTTAAATTAGTATACATTAAAAGCTGTATTAAGAAAACAAGTTTAATTTAAATTGACGAAAAGAAAAAATAACCGAAAATAAGTATTTCTTATAATTATATCAGTACTGCCTGGGAGTGAAATATGCGTAGCTTAGTGACCTGCAAAAACTCTTTTTACAACGGAAAACTGTATTTGAATAATATTCCTAAAGAAATAAAGTTTGTTCCTTCCGGGTTAAGTTTATTTAAAAACTATTGATTTTGTTTTGAAGGGAATCATCCAATCAGATATTTATTTACTTGGCCACTCTATTTTTGATAATCGTTTAGTAATGTCTAGCAACTCTATTTGCTGCATATTTAAAGGAAATTGGTGTTTTTTTTTCAAGGATTTACAAAGCAATTCATAGATAAATTAATTGACTGGTAACTAGTTGTGGTTGCATAGAATTAGCAGGAAACGACATCTTTGAAAATTATTAACATAACTTTAAATATGACCACCGCCGGATTGCACCATTTAATAGACGCATTACATTAACCCAAAATCATCTTCGGATTATGTTAATGGGCAGATTTCATTTTGGCCATATCTAATCTTGAAAATTAATTTTTTTGCCTAATTTGGGGGGGTGATAGATATGTCGTATAAAATAGTAATTTATTTGTTGGCCAACGTAGTATCGCATTTAACGTAAGCCCATTCGGCTATTCTCAAACGGAATATGTTAAGTTTTAAAGTAAGTATACGCAAAAATAGTCGATTATTGGCAATTTAAACCATTTTATTGGTGCGAGTGTTGCTGGTAAATTTAGTGAAGTGAACCCTGCCTGTAGGTGGATTGGATAGACCGGACATTGATAGTTCAAAATGAATTCTGTTGGTTTGAAGTTATCTGAATACTTTTATACCTCGCAGTAATAAATTACTTTACACTTGTGTTGAAAAATCTTGAATATTTACTGCTGATGTTAGTGAGTATAATTATCAAAATTTTCGACATAAATTAGTCAGATATTTATGAGAATGGACAAAGTTCAACACAGGTAAAGTATTTCTTAAAAGACTGAGGTGGAAAAAAACCAAAAACAAGATATATTCTTATTTTTTTAGATTACCCAGATTAACTGTATTTGCAACCTTAGCATTTTAAAGTTCTTTAGAGTGTCTTTCATTTTAAATGAACACACAAGTAAATTCTTTATAGGATTTTCAATTCTTTGGGGGTCAGTAACTTTGCAGGTCTGTCTTTTTAAATGACAATAATTTTTTTATTTTCTTTTAACTTATACTGTATTTTGTTAGCTTGTTAGCATCTTCTTTTAGTCAGGGTTTTTAATGTCTAATTCCTTCCTTGTTAGAGACTTAAACCTATTAATTATTATTATTATTATTAAAACAACTTTTTATTTTTTATTTTTATTATAAAAGTTTGCTTCTATTAAACATACTTTTGACGATCTCTTCAAGCGTCAACAGCACAGATCCGTTGTTGTTCGATTGAGCAGAAAAACCTTCAGCAATCAGATTCGTTGCTGATATACAAGATATTGAGCAAATAAATATGAACTATCATGCATGTAAGATGTTGGTTAATATTGAATGAATATGTTAAAAATACATTCTCTCTTATACAAATTAAATAAACCGATCAATAATTTATAAAGGGAAGTTAGAAAATTTCTATCCTTGAAAAAACATCGCTCTATCAATACAGTTAGGCCGAAGTAGTTGCAGTTGATAGACAAGTCAAGTTTCCTACAGTTCTTTCCACTTCTGTCTCTTAATTTCAAGATTTATCTCAATTAGTTTCGTTTTATTCTAATTTCATCTATTTAGTTTTCAGTTTGTGAATGACTGGATCAAATTAGGTGCATTTTTATTTTATACATCAATGCATCAATATTTTACAAAAGAACATTTAAATTTAATGTCAAAATTTTAATATAATTCTAATTTTCTCTTCTACGTCTTATCGAATTGTGTTTCTTTCATTACTTTCTTTAAATGTTATTAATGTAATTATTAAGAAAGTATGTAGTTTATTTCATTCTTTGTCGCTCCGCTTGGGCTTATCCAGGTCTATTTTTTGGTGTTTTTTTGTTAAAGAAAGTGCTTTAACAAAAAAATTTACAAAAATTGTCATCAGATTACCCCTCTGATTTGTAGTGCCAGCTCCATACTTTCCCGTATATTCTTCTTGACCTCTATTTGTTTTCCTAATATGGCGTTAAAGTATCCCATAACTATTCCATATTTACATTTATTCTGTTCTCTTGCCAAATGTGTGATTGACAAAATTTGCCACACGAAAATATACGTTATGAAAAGAAGCTGAACCCTCTAGGCGTGGCACTGATTGAACCCAGGACAAAAATATCTGAAGTTGTAACGTAGGAAAACACCTAGAGGAGAGAAGATTTTCAAACAGCTGAACCATAATTTACAAATAGCTGTTCCAAACTACAATTTCTAACTTTATTTTAGATTATATTTATAAGCAAATTATTATTTTTTGGCTCGAATTAACTTAAAATTTGCTTTATTCGTTGTATTTAGATCTGACTAAATTTCTTAGTTTTCGTCAGTCAATTTCTTACCTCAGATTATTGCCTTTGGTTTTATAGATTTATTGTATGGTTACATTTTAAAATTTTCTAATACATTTTCAGCTTCTTCTGCTCTGTCTGTCTATGTTGTCTGTAGTTTTTGTTAATTTTTGGTGATATTTTTAAATCTGCAGGCTTCTTTTATTTTCCTATTGTTCATGTTCCCTTCAAGTAAATGTATGTTCACATATCGCCTACTTATTATCTTTTGTTTCCTGTCATTAATTTCCTGTTCTTCACTTTTGTCTCCTGTCTAATGTCTAGTGGACGCTCTTAATTTTCGAGTAACTGACGATTAATAATATAAATAAGTAGCTAATAAACTTTAAATTTTTTTCTCAATGTCCCGCTGAATATTGGGGTGCTTAGGTCACCACCAGACAGAAATCATGTATCTTTATAACTCTGTAAAGTTTTAGGTCATGTATATTTTTGTTTCATACAGTATGTACCACTAGAGCTAGATTTTTAACGGAAATCAGTTTATGCCATTAGAGTTTTAGATCCGAAATTAAATAAAAGAGTATTGATAGAGTGTTTTTATGGTACTCTTAGGAAAAATCAAACTATACGTACCTAAAACATAAGAAAAAAATAATCTAAATTTTATGCTGAAATGAAATTCTTCTGTGGCAGTTTAAGAAGTGGGGTATGGTAGAGTTAAGAAACTGAGCAATAAAACTTATTGTCCCGTTTCTCCAAATAACGATTTACGAAACATACATAAAAATCTTTTAATTTCGCCATGTAATTCAAGGCTATTTCTTCATTCTGAAATGCTACTTAAAATTTACAACTCATGGTTTAATAATCGACCAATGTCACTCGCCGTGACTATGAAATCGTGATATAGGCATAGGAAATCGCTGATATCCGTAACGCGCAAAATACTAAGAAGAATCTGTGTATCAACTGAGAAAAACCCGCTTAAATAGGAACCGACAAAAAGTTCCGTTTATTAATATTTCGATTGACAAGTGCAACCTTTTGCATTTGGACAATTTCGATATCCGTTAGGGTGTGTCAATTAAAGAATATGTAACAGTTTATTCAAACAATTTTTATTACCAACGATACTTCCCAAGGATAGCGTTTTTTTACTCAGGTGTCATTTGATATTACTTTTCGATATAGATACATGTTCAATTAATTAAGTGGTGCTAAACCATGAATGATGCAATTACAGGAATTTATATTTACATTTATATCTACGTCTATCAGTTCGAGATTTTCAATTAATTACTTTCTACTTGTTTTTTATATAATTGTTTATCAGTTTTTGCAGGCTTTTGAGGCCAAAGAATTAAATTGTGTGTAAAAAAAGTGTTCAAGCTCTGGAAAGAGTGACTAGTAAATAATCTCCCCAAAAAAAATTCCAGAACATAAAATGACAAAACGTTTTAAGGATTGACATCATCTTTGTTCAAAACAAAAAACTTAAAAAACTTGAAAAAGCAAGACGATTATACTTGGTTAGCAATATTTGATGATTATAGAGAAACTGGAATGAAAGCGGTAGAGATACGATAAGAAATCTTCTTTATCAGTAGCGATAGAAACTTTATAGTTGTGTATTCAATATAACGTTTCACTATTTTCAATATTCAATGATAAAATTATTATTTAGGTTTATTATGTACTCAATTAATATATATTTTGATTTATTTCCCTGACTGCGTGTAATTGTTATTATATTTTTTCTTTCCTGGGTTTCAGTCAAAATGCGAAATAAAAATTTTCATATCGTTTATTTCACATTACGCTTTGGCGGGAGAACAGCCCCATCATCAAATTTAAAATCCAAAACAAACCCATAATTGGGAAACATTAGATTCTTTTTATGCTTGGTTGTCTTCAAAACCTGACATTTGTTTTTCAAACGAAGAAAACAAAAAATTTAAAAAGTTGTTTCTTTATAAATATTTTCTTTGATCAACTAAAATTTGTTTATTATCAGATATCAAATTTTACCGATTTTTTTAAGTTTTATATATGATATGTAGTCGAAAAATTAAATGCGCTGAAGGAATATGCGTTTATATTCTATGATACAATAAAACAATTAAATGCGAATATTGCAAAAGTAAACAAAACATAATCCAGACCATAAGTGAGACATAACATAATCCAGACCATAGAAACTGATCACCAAAGTAACTAGATACTTTATAGAAATCAGTTACTCACGACAGACACAGTAAATGTGTACACAATAATTTAATGTTAGAAAAAAGATGAAGAAGAAAATGATCAGACTGAAACTATGAAATAAAAAAGCGAAAGTAAACAATCAGTAGGGCTTCGGTGCAAATAAAGCGCTTGTATCACTATTTTCGTTTGCAGAAAACTCTTTCTAGACTCAAATATAGTTTCGAATATACGCCACTTTTCATTTAAACCCCAGTAATCTTTACATCAGATTAATTCTATATATTTTCAATCGTATCAAAGAAAAAAATAGCAAATGAATGCATAAATGACTTCTTTCTATCTTGGTCGGTGATTCAGATTTATCCTTATCATGTACATATTCCGACAACGTCAATTAATCAATTACCACAATAAATAATTTACGAATTTTAGTTTAGCTCACTTTATTTAATTGTAAATATTTTTTTGCAGGTTTTTCTTTCACTGAGTTTGCTGGTCGGCGTTTCGTTAGCTGCGGAAGATGCTGCAGCCAAAGTTCTACAATATGAATTTCAAAGAAGTGGGAGCGCAAAGTACAATTATCAGTAAGAATACATTCATCTACTTATAATTAGCATTTTCTAGATATACAGAGTGATCAGTAAATAATGAAGCAAAGTGGAGGAGGTTATAACATTTGTTAAGGAAGGGGACATTCGGAGCAAGTTTATTTCAGCAAAATAAAAAAGCAAATGAAGAGCTGCAACAAAAAAGTAGGGGATTTGAAAATATAACTATTTTTTTAAACAGCTGACGATTGCTGGTAAAAGTAAAATGGTTTCTTGTGGAAACCACTGCAGTTTTGACCAATTTTTTCACAGCAAACTTTGTTTGCAAACTGTAATCTGAAATATCTCAAAAAGGCCTTAGGATATCAAAGAAAAATACAAATAATTGTCATTAAATCTAATTAGGTCATATATCATGACAAAGCATACGAATTTTGTTTATAACACCCCCCAAAAAGTTACATTGCGGATTTCAAAATTTTAATTTTAAATTACGCTGAAGAAATATTAATTAATTGATTTTGTGCCTCTTGTATTTGACAAACAGGTGATATTTTCCTATCGCATACTTGTTTCAAGCGATTTTTATCAACAACTTCTATAAAACGTTTTGTACCCCATTCAGTATGGTCCCATAAACTCTGTATATGAATCAAGCATTACTTATCCGGAAATAAAAGTCAAGATTGGAATATATATATTAAAATTTTACTAAATTTGATATAAAAATATTTTTTTGGCCAATGACTGATGTAAGGTTTTAGTACCAAAACTGGGAGTATTAACGGGATTTTTTATGCAAGTAATAAGCAAAAACTCTCCGAAATCTACATAAATCAAACCTATCATGCACGTAAAATATGCGCGCCGCTTAATTATGAAAATACCGGCACTTCAGAATATATTAATTATACACAATAAATAAATTCCATAAAATCATTTGTTACACTGATTTTATAGACTGTAATCTTTTGAAACGAATTAATAACTTTAATTCTGTTGCCTTTGTCGTTGTAAAAAAGTGCAATTGTTTTTGCCAAAAATGCAAGCTTAAACTCGTCTTATATTTATACTTCAAGTCCCTTTATCCGGCACTAAATTCTTTCTTCAAATAGTTATGATTTAGTTCTTGGTTTATATTTAATTTCTTATCACGAATCAGGTCACGTAAAACTATTCAAATATTACATTTTCAATAATTATCTCCTTTCTTCCGTTGCTTTTTAATTAATACTCGTTTAATATTTTCAGAATAAATATTATTTTCTTCAGGCATTAGTGACTTAAGTCTGTATTTTATTATCCACCTACTCGATGCAGTTTTATGTTTCATTGAATTTAATCTGCTTTTGTTATGCTGATGAATCATCTGGGGCAAAGCAAAGACAATGACGATTACCATTGTGCGTTAACATTAACTTTGCCTGTTTCCTCATCTTCCAATGCACAAAACATTCAATTATATTGCAGAAGCATCCGTGCTGTAAAATTACAAGGTAACTTTTTGAGCAAGTCATAAAAATAGTTGCCGTCGTGATCTGAAATCGAATTTGAGCGTATTTAATATTTAAAAACCAGACAAATGTAGTAAGTCTGCGCTTTAAAAAAAATATCTGAATTTTTAAGGAGCATATAAACCGTAAAGAATTTTCATCGAAAGTGGTAAATAAAAATACTATTAAAGAGGTCACCAGCACATCAACAAACTGCCATTTGCATAACATTTCGATTATATAACAAAACAGCATTCCAATGGAAGCGTCCATCAGATTATAATAAGATGTTTACTAAACAGCATTGTTATTAACATATTTGTTAATAAGGTTAGGCAAATACGACTTTAATATGCAGCATCTGAAACAATATCTATTTAGCTTTTGCCACCGTTTAAGAATTGCAGTATAGTGCAGGTAGATACAGGGTGTTCTCGTCAAGCTTAATGTCTAATGAGTAAAAAGAGAAATGTTTAGGAAATTTATTTGAAAATAGTTTGATATGCACCAACTAATTAACAAAGTAGTGCTATTCATCAGCAGACTGTGGCTATGTTATATAATCAACTAAATTTTAAATGGACATAAAATTTTAGAATTGTGTCTTGAGAATTGAGTCGTTTAGACTTGAGAGAAAATAGGTAACAGAGGTCATTACAAGAAAAGGCTCAATCCGTACTCGAATGCTTGAACGTTCAAAGTTTTCACAACAACGCATTTATTTAATTAGTATTAAATAATAGCAAAACATTCTAATTTATTAACATTTCTATCAAATCAAAAGAATGACGAACAAGTTGGGACTAAAAAGAAAAAAATCTTCAGATTTGAAAGTTATGCAACTGTATAAAAATTTGATTCAATTTAAAATATAAGTAACAAACTTTAGATGAGAGGAGTAGAGTTTAGTAGTAAATAAAAAATATAAATTTTAGATGTAGAGCGTTTTCTGTAATCGATATAGTTTGGCAAATGCTCTCTTATGCATCGTCCCAATCTGATGTTCTGACCTTTTGGGTTGTGTGGTATTAACATGATTATGTCAGTTCCTCTTTCCAGTGGTGATGTACAACTAGAAAAAGYGAAATTTAGCTYGMAGCRAGGGAAATAGTTGACGCTTGCTYAAGTGTCKATACAACAGATAATTAATCATCAAATAAGTGYTTGTATACTTCAAAAGTGGATGGTTTTAAACAAAATAATTAATAAGTGTTTGAACAAGGGTGTCCTGCAGCGAYTTATCGATAATTATAAAACAAGAAAATTCGCCTACGTGTATGAGAAATTAGCTAAATTATCAATGARATRTAAAAATGYCCTCAAAATTCAGATGMARWTAATTGTTACAAACTTAAGATGCAGATTGGTAAAAGATGTCTATTTATGTTCACGGGTTTTTCCGTCAATAGATAGTGGCAGAAAATAAAACACCATTTTTCTTSGGCCAATATTWCGGCTACATTTAAACCATTTTCAGGGCCCTAGAGGGAAAACAAAGTTGTTACAGCCTTAAATATAGTAAAGAAAATCTCAGCCATTAATATTAAACAAAAAAAAAAGAAAGCAGCATAAGAGGAATATCAAATATAAAGTTCAAAGGTCAAAAGTAATATTATTTATTAATAATTTCAAAAACATAGTTAACAGCAATTGATTGAAGTCATTACGTGATCGACAATATAAATTGTTTCATTAAGTCCTTAACATACAAAAATAGAGAAACTGGTATAAAACAAAATCAAATATGAAAACAAAGCACAAAGCGATGTTGTTTAGCAGTGAATTTAAATAAACATAATTAACAAACAATGACATAAAAATATTGTTTCGTATCTGGCATCGACAAGAGCGCAATCAGTAATCAATTAAGAAGCAACTTTTGTATGGTTTGTTTAAATTGCTCTCTTAACTGGTCATTTTGAAGACGTCCAAGTTACTTCTAGTTATTTTTTTTTGGGTACTTTAGTCACCTTGTCTGGACGTGTAAACTTTCAAATTCTTCTTAACAGAACGTCTTGAAAAAAATTAATAAATAAAGAGCCTGAAGTTTGCACAAACATGATTCCGTTATTTTCATACAAATTTTATATTTTTGATTCCATTCGTAGCTCTTACTCCAAAAAGATAAACTTTATTTACCTAGTTTGCTGCTAACAATTTTTTTAGCATCAAATATTGAAAATTTGATTATTTCTAAGGAAATGTCTTCAAATATTCTTGATATTACTGTTTAATTAGTTTGTGCATAATTTAAAAGAGTAACGAACAACAGAAAATCTAACAAAATGAAATACAAATACCGGTGGTAAGATTCCCTGAAGCTTCTATTTAAAAACAAATCATTTTTATGTCTAATCTTTTTTAATAACTCTCTTGTTATATTAACAATTTCACACAGACCGACGTATTGTTGAGATTAGACCTACCTGAAATCATACTGGGTTATTTTTTATCCTTTCGATTTTCACCAATTGAAGAAATTTTAAACATCCTAATTTAAATAATTTCTGTTAAATACAAAAATTAATTAAATCTATCTACACTAGTCTTAAAGAAAGCCGAAAACGGACGCGCGTTAATTCTTCATATAGATTCTTACAATTTAGGTACGTACTTTCTTTCGTAAAATATCTTTCAAATATTAGTAGAAAATTGAGAAAACAACAAATGCTTGCTCTGTTTCGCGTCTGCCTAAACTTCGAAAAATCTGAGTAAGTTGACGTGAATAAAATTTAAGTGGAATCCGCATGCAGAAAGCTTAAGCCGAATGATTAGAAACCTGATTAACAAACGTTTTTAAATTGACTAGGACAGCTTTTAATTAGGGTATAGCAGGATCCAATTTTGTTAGTTCATAAAATGCATACTTCCCGTCGCATTCATCGCACTTCTACCTAAATTCAAACAGTTTCGAAGCAACAAAGTTATCTAAAGATTTTGCTAAATCTGAACAAACGTTTCAGCTTTGAGACCAGCAATGGAATAAAGAAAAGCGAAACTGGCGACGAAATTCCCTCAATTCACGATGCAAATAATGATGCAGCTTTGGCCAAGGGATCGTTTTCTTACACAGGTGCCGATGGTGTTTTATACTCGGTTGAATATGTTGCTGATGAGGCTGGATTTCATCCTGAAGGAGCTCACTTAAAAGTAAGAACAACGTTTTTCTCACTTAACTTAGTTACAATTTTTTGCTAACTTAGTAACAGTTTGCTTACAAGCGCATATGTACCTACTTAGTTGCGCCACAAATTTAAAAATTAAGCAAATTGCTTTTATTTGCGGAATTTTCGAGGTTTCTTCTAGAGAACGTTGTATATTATAAAACATACATTTCTGTTTATGTACGTAGGAAAATTTAGGAGAAAATATAAATTTGATCTTTTTCACTGCATGGCAAAAGATGTTTCTTATAAATATATTTTGAATCATTTGGATTAAAGCCGATAAACTTTTGATGCAAAAATTTAAAAGAAAAATTCTAAGCTCAATGAATTGATAAAATAATTAATAATATTGAGTCTACACTTTTATATTATTATATATGAACACTAACATTTTTACAGAATGTTAATTTGGAGGAAAACAGGTAACAAACAATATGTTTTAAGTTTTAACCGGCATTCGAATCGTTGAGTATTGAAAGAATAAAAGTTTTTTCAATAATGAATTGAATTAATTAATATTAAATCGTATGGAGACGTTACTTGCAAAATAATAGTTTTCAAACTTACAAATACTCGTAAAAGTAGAAGTTTTATAATTAAAAATATTTAAAATAAATCGTACTAAAAATAAAAAATATTAAGCTTGAAAAACATGCAACTGCAGAATTACTTCAATTCAATTCAGGATATGAATACTAAATTAAGGAAAGACGAAAAACAATACACGTTAGATGTATGGACTAGATATTTTAGAATTAATAATTTATCTATGATTAATTTTGGTGTTTCATTTAAATATATTTTCAAACATTTTGATTAGAGCGGAGATACTTTTGATTAAATCCTATTTACACTTTTATTCTGCATTTTTTCCACTTTGTAAAAAACACTGTAGTATCTGAATTATTGATAAACTTTCAGCCTTTCGACTTTGATATTTCATACAGAAAAATAGAGCTTTCATGTCAGAACAAAAAGTAAAAATGTGTTTTTATAATTGCATAGCAAAATAGTAACCGCTTCTTTAAGTGTTGAAAAACTGTGGTTTCATATGGAACGTGTTAAAATACGGGGGGATATTTAGCTCAGATTTAGAGGAGAAATAGCGGAATTCTATTCTAAATGGAACATACACTTGAAACTCATAAAACTGTAGCAATCGACAAACTTATACTTTGGCATTCTCGAAGTTTCAAGCAAATATTTTTAGAGTTCGTGGTAGGAATATTTTAAAATGCCACATGTATTGAAGCATTGAAAGAACAACACAAAAAGTAGTTAATCCAAGTTTTAAAGAACTTCGAAAATATATAATTAACTATAAAATTTTCCATCCCTTTACCGTTCACAATAATGTTGATGATCCACTTTTTTAAAGTAAATATCAAATATACTACAGGGCTGGATAGAAGCAACATAAATCTTCAAACTTARAAAACCTGTAGATTTTCKATACCTATGTTTGRACGAAATTAWAGTCATAAAGTTAACATGAACTCGCATATATTTTTTAMGTGYTSTTGWCAAAATGTGATAAATTTAATATATTGCAAATGAWWTATCGACTATCTAAAAAATTCGYAACATAACTTTATAGCCAAATTTCACACGTAGGTACATGTTTATATTTGAAAGCATTTTTAAGCAATGAGTTAGTATCAGTTGATTGATTATTTGAAATATTTGAAATAAAAGAATAATGAAAATAAATATCGAATARACGGAAAATRAATTTAATTTTAGTAGTACATTGAAATGGTAAAATACAAACATTTTTAAGAAATTTCTTTAAAAAGCACTTTGAATGCATTACCAATAAGTTTGCTAAGATTCCTAAAACATATGAAGCAACTTGATGTCAAAACATAATTTGCTAATGTAAATTCATCAATGAAAAAGGCAACAAAATATTAASAATAAAAATAACAAAAMTTAAATTCCCATATCTGATCCAATATAATTCAGATTCCACCTTTCACCCCATGGATTCCCGGACAGCCYATCGACGATGGACAGTATAAAGAGGACAAATCTGGTAACTACAAAGCAGATGACTCCGGAAAATACACTCCTGGCAGTGGAGATAACGAGCAAAGCCCATTTACCAGATCGCGACAAGTACTGCAAACTAACAATTTAGGTGTTTTCACCGACACCGTTAATTTTGATTTCAGAACCAGGACAATTTTATTTCTGGCGAAAGGATACTGGATACTTTTAGAACAACGCCTAAACCCCCCACGCCTGTTACGCAGATTTACTTGCCATCGACCAGCCCCAAATATAGTTCCGGGGAAAATATACTCGATACCTTCCTGGATGCAAAGAAAGCGCCTACTGTTACTCCTAAGTACTTGCCCGCATCCAGTACTCCGGTTTATGAGTCAGGTGAAAGCATCCTGGATGCTTTCCGGGAATCTAATAGACCCACTCCCGAGTACCTTCCATCTTCACCCGAACCAAGCAGGTTTTACCGGACTGAAAATCCTATTGATAGTGATATTATCAAAAAGGCTTATTTTAATAAACCTACACCGCATCCGGATATTCTTCTGCATTCAACACCCAAGGATGGTCCGCGAAGATCCAAAGGATCGGCCAAGCCGGTAGGAGAAGCCACCCGAAACAAACCCACTTATGTGCGGTTTGAAAAGGAAAAAAATAGCAAATTATCCAGAGGTGGTTTGAAAAAGTTGCAGGAATAATAACATTAAGTGGATTCTAGTTTAAATAAGCAGATGTTTTATTATTTGTACGCAGAGTTTATATATTTTATTTTGTTGATTATATTTTAATGAATTTTTGATGGATGGTTCGAAGAACAGCAGCATTATAGTCAGATTATTATCTACCAAAGAAATCAAATACCTATGCTGCTGGTTATCAAAAAGTATTGTATTATTATTAAATATGTTTTGTTAGAACTTATGCTAGTCGCTGAATTTTGAATGAATAAAACTTAAAAAACTGTTGAACAGTAATTTTTTTTGCTTATTTTACTCTGATCATATTTCAGTGAGTGACTGCATGGTTACACGAAAATATATTTCTTGCTCTTACTTAACTTTAAAAATAAAATTTAACTTACTTAATTAATGCAAATTGATTGCAAAATGGAAGATGAGAATAAAACAGGTTCATAAATCCAAAGTTTTCGACACTTGCGAACTTGAACTTTCCGAAACCCGAGTAGATGAATATTGTATTCATGTATGTGGTTGACCTATTAGCCGTAAAAATATTTAAAGAAAATAATTTGCATTTTAAGAAAAACTGCTTAGGATTATTTCGAATTCTCAAAGTGATCGTTATGCAAATCCACAGCATTCAGGCGGAAGCAGAAGAGAATTAGAATTAAATATGATGACTAAAAGTAGGTATTTTAGGAGCGTCCCAAAAACGACTTCGACGAAAATGGGTCGAAGGATTAAAACTTGTTTGTCCTGAGAAATAATGAATTATGCATAGTTCCCATGGTTAAAAGGTTTGATAAGACTTGATGTTAGTCGGATAGGGATGACTAAAGTTCAGTTTTTATCAGGATTATCGTATTTTTTGAAAAAATTATTAATGTTGCCTTTTGCGTCAAAAATGTTGTTGAAATTTCGCTTGTTTTGTGGAAACTGCTAATATTGTTGTTAAATTGTACTGAGTGTTGTTTTCCTTCGTAAATGGGGTATTTAATTCTCGACCCAGCGGTTTAAACATTATTTTGTCAACTCAGTTTATTCCTGAGGTATGAGCAAAAAAGTGGAGTCATCTTTGCATCGATGTCCTTATCTCCTTCTCAAATGTGTAATTTTCGATTTTCGCTTTTTGTGTGAAAACTGCCAATATTTCTAACGGGTGTTAACTTTCTAACTTTTAAAATTTCTAACTAATGTAAGAAATTGATTTTTATACATCTATCGTCATGTTTGAGCAGTTAGCCTATTTTTACCGAAACCGTGTAAAACATTAACTTGTCTGAAAATTTGTGTTTTTTTGTCTAAAATTACTAGTAACATCTAAGATAAGTTCTTAATCCTGAATTGTGTTATTAATTCTTCATCTACTGCTGTAAAAGTGATTGTTCTATATAACTGCCAATATTTCTAGCTGGAGTTTCATTTGAAAAATGCGTTTTTAATCATCTATCCAATAGTAGGAAAACGAAAAATATAGATCAAATATTTAATGAGATATGACCGAAAAGGTGGCGTCATGTTTGAGCAACCGTGTGAAACTTAAATGTGAAAATTACCTTTCTTTGTGGAGAAAATATCAGCAACGTCCAAGCAAAGTTTTACTCGTGAAATGTGTTAATTATTCTCCATCCAGTGTTGTAAGAATGCGCTAGTTTCTTGTTCTTGAGATATAGGCAAAAATGTGGAGTCATTTTAGAATTGATATCTAAATGTATACATTTCAAATTTAGCTTTTTGTGCGAAAATTGCCATTACTTCCTAACTGTCGTGTAACTTGTTAAATGGGTCTTTGAATCCTCTGATGAGGGCCGTAGCTAAAATGACTCTTGAGATATGAACATGAAAATAGAGTCATGTTTGAGCTGATTTTCTAATTTAGTTTGGGTTAGTTTTTTTATATATATTATTCAAATGTTTTCCTTCGTAAATGTGATTTAATTCTTGATGCAGCAGTGTAAAATTTATTGCACAATTTGCTCCTAAGATATGAGCATAAAACTAGCGTCATGTTTGAATCGATGGCTTAATGTTCTTCTCAAATCTGTATTTTTTAAATTTAGATTTCTGTGGGAAAATTGACAATTTTTCTAAACAACATTTCACTTGACAAACAGTATTTTTTAACCGCGTGAAACTAAAAATTGATGTAAACTTTCTCTTTTTGTGAAAAACCTCAGATTTTTCAAGCGACCCACGACTTGAAGAAATTGCAATAATTCTCTGTGTTCTCTATATTATTGACACGCCGCTAAATTTTCTTTATGTAAATGTTTAATCTTATATGTAAAATTATAATTTTATATAAAAGTTAAATAATAATGTTAATAGACAGTAATGGAGAGAAATGTTAGCATATTAAAGTACCTTTAAAACTTCTTCCGGTCTTTCATTTCTGGCCCTTGCTTTTTAGCTTAAAAGACAAAGGCCAGACTCAATTTGAATTTTTTTTGCAAAATTTTACGTTTGAAAGCTATAAATTTCGTTTATTTGAATTTATGGATTTTTATCATAAGCGCCCTTTTTATACTATACTATAAAAAATCTTTTGTACTGAGAAACCTTCATATAAAAGCGGTTTAACTATGTTTCCGTTAAATCTTCAACAATGCTGTTCTGAAAATATGTTTTTTAATGGTTTTCATATCAAAGGCGGCTTCATTACCACTATCTATTGTTATAGATAAATTAACACAATGTAAAAAAACATGTGGGCGTAGCACCTGCAACACTTATTCCCTTTTGCGAATGATGTCGCATATTTATATTGTAATAAATCAGATAACGTAAATAAATTGCTTGGCTTTTCATAAGTTGCTTCAGCTGAAGCAGAGTGTCGATGTATTGTAGTTTTTTTCTCAACTGGAAAAACCATAGATTCATTCCGCCTGCTTAAGGAAAACCCCTAAGATTATATAATATTAATGCTAATGCCCATTCAAAAGATCCTTAATGAGGAATTTTAATTTTAAATTGCCAATTTTGAATTTCTAAGACCCAAGTTAAAGACCGGCACCGGTTCTTGAAGAGATAAATTAGAATTTATTTTGGTCTTGGTAATTTTATATTTAGCTAAAGTTCTCTTGCATATGACGAATAAATCATTTAGATTCTATATGTTGATTATTAGTATGTGATTTTACAGTTTTTAGTATGCTATCCAACACGTTTACTGTGGCGTGTGTGAAATTTGCGCCCTGCCAAAGAAAATCTCAAATATTTCATTTAAAACTTCTAGCTTGTCATATTTTTTTAAATGAAACTAGGTAGGTATTCCCTTCAATAGAAAAAAATAGATTCAACTTCGATCACTTCGATCACTCGTCGCCAAATCCGGTTGAATGCAAGATTTGCTATTTTTCCGCATTAATCTAATTTTTTGCGGTTTCTTCCTCACCTTTGCGGTATTAAATACACCATAACGCTGAAACATCCTTCTCCATCTATCATTAATAATAGCTCTGCAATCGAAAAGGTTACGATTGGCTATAGTTAACACTCATAGAAAATTTTACTATAATTATTTTCGAATATATTCGGATTGTGAAATATTTACGATTTTCAGAGAAATTCACTTAAGTTTTAGCAAGCGCTATTACATCATTGGTCCGTTTGAGGATTAAGATCAATTTACATTTGTTGTTAAATTACGAAGTAAGTATACGTTACGAAGCTTTTATTTCAATGTTTTACAGGTGTGAAGTGAATTATAGATAAACGATTAGGGGGAAAATGTTTGCTTCTTTACAACAATTCCTTGTGTATTCAGTTTTATTTGTTATTTCAAACATTTTCGTTTTTAAATTGTTACTCAAAAACTTTTTAAAATACATTATATATTTAATGCATACAAATATTTTTTTTTGYATATRTATACCGTGTCAGCAYAAAATGCGCAAAAAATTCAARAGGAAATTCTAAATGAAATTTKTACCCCAATTTCGTGTGGCAGTTTTYGAAAATTTCAACTATAACGGAGCTGCAAGGTCTTAAATAATTTTTTTCTAAATAACTGTTATTAAATATTTTTTTAGCCTGTTAATCAATGGTTTTCAATTTTTATTTTTTTCTTTCAATTGTCTATTTCAAATATTTCCTGCAAATGCTGCTCAGTTTGGATGATAAAAGTTTGATGTTTAGGTAGATAGGTACCCCTAAATCCTCAAGAGCCGAAATTATGTATGTCAAGTAAAAACTGTTTTATTTGTTTGGCATTTAACCACTTAGAAAAGGGACACATGAAAATTGTAAGGAATATGGAAAAAGTTTGCCAAATAAATATTCTCGACAGTTGCAGGAAGTTAATTAATAAAAATACATTATAGCAAATCAACTAATCATGCAAGCATTCTAGAGGCAAAATGACAAAAGGCACAACGAATTAATGTTAACAAAATAATGAAATCCTAATTGAAAATCACATTCAGCAGTGCAGTCATGGAAAAGTTGATGAGTATAAACAATTCCAACTGCACTTTTGATCATATGAAAGGAGGCGACCTTCAAATCGTACGATTTCTCCAATAAATTTTATAAAATTTTGCATTTAAGCCCGCCCACTTTGCCAACAATTTAAAATAATCAAATCTTATTGCCCAGTTACGCAACCTGTAATCAAGGTAGTTTGGAATCAACTAATCATTAATCATTGAAAAATGTCAACAGACAAATAAATTTAAATATTAAACCGAAGAACCTAATCGGAACCGAACATTTGGGAATATTATAATTGACTTGAGTTGTTTGGAGACATTTCCAACAACTAATCAGTTTTCGTGCATATTTACACCCAACTCAGCCATTAATATGGTCAAAGTAATGAGCGAATTTAAATTTAATAATATCTAAAAGTTTAAACGCAATGTTAGAGCTTAACGCGATGCTGAAGCACCCGGTATTATTTTATTTATCGACTTTAGCTGAAGACTACTTTTAAAGCCTTGAACCAACATTTTTTTCAAAGTCATTTGGAACTAATTACTGCGTTCTATTCCAATACTTTCACTGGATTTTTCGCCTTAAGGCTCATAAAGTCGTCGGACATTTTACGAAACTTTTATATCAAACTTATTGAAACTGATTGCAGAGAATGGTCAATTATAGCGAATTTTCTTTGAAAACCTTATATAACGAAATGCATAAATAAAGTTATTCAATTCTTTTATTTTTTAGCTGTTTCTTGAAGCTGATGAGTTTTACGGATTTGAGGCCGTCGTGTATTAGAATTTGTTCCCGACGTTTTGAAAGGAGTGGCTTGCAGCAGATCAAGCTTTGAAGATGCCGGCCACTTGTGCTTTCGAAACGTCACGAAAAAAATCGAATCCCCAACGGTTTAAAAATCTCAAAAAACTCAAAAGTCTCGATATTTTAAATTGTTTTGGGAACTGAAAATACAGTCAATTAGTTTACATTAGAAGAACGCAATGTTTGAAAAATGAACGTTAGTAAGACAATTAAATACTGTATGGTTTAAAAAGTAACAATTTTTTTCTAGCAGCTCTTATACAAATTGATCCCTGATAGTGAGGTAGATTATCAAATAGCCATAAATTAGTTATTAAAATTCAGCCAAAAATCTCCTAATCAAATGTTGCCTAGTTTAATTTCCAATTCTTGCAATTTTGCTTGCTTATTTTCCATTCGAAGTGATTACTTTTATGACAATAGTATTAAATTAAATTGTCTGTTTTTTTAGTATGGATATTTATCAACTTTCTGCTTTATGTCAGTAAATAATTTAGGAGGCATGCAATATTTTTTAAGTCAAAATTGAAATATTAATCGTGTATTGTGGAAATATGAGGGAACAATATTTCAATTTTATATTGATGTGAAATTTAATGATAAAGAAAATTAAATGAATGAATTACAATCATTAGATGAACTATTTAAATTAAGGAATTGAGTGAATGGGTTGAATGAAGGAGTGAATTAAGTAAATGAATACATCAATTGAATGTGCGAATCTCCAAATCTTGTGCGTTATTGAAAGCTTTACTCAAAAAAAAATTAATTTTGATTTGGTTATTTTACTGAAAATTTCGATAATATTTTCTCCTTGCTTATCTACAAACGGTTTATTTTTGTATGCAATTATGTTCTTTTCTGGAAAAAAATAGGAACCATATTTTGCCCCCTTTGCACAAAAATGTCTCTTACCTACGAAGAATTCAATTCTTAAGAATTTTTTATCAAAAATTATAAGATTTCTCAATAAGCAAATAGATTTGTGTATAAATTGGTAACGACCTACTACTCTAAACTGTTTCACCCTGTATAAATACACTACTTTAAGTTTTGTGCAAATTAAGTTTAAGAATTTTACATTAACTCAATTCAAAATGGTTATTCAGCAAAAATTTAATTATTTCTAACTAGTGAAGAGACCGAAAATACTGCTAGAATTTATTACATTATTAAAATGAAATATAAAGTACCCTAACATTTTCAAATTTTTCTATATTTCCTGGTTACATTATAGAAAATGTCTAAAATTGAGATCCTAAAATCATTAGGAATGATTACAAGATGACTGTATAAATACAAGCAAAATAAAAAATATAGGTAACGATGGATTTTACAGTAAGTTTTTGATAATCAACAATACACGTGCAAATGATCTTCAATGACAATTAGCTACAAGAAGAAGAAATAATTATTTACGCAAATAACAAGGCAAAAGTGAATACGGTAAAGTTTTTTTTGTTCCTATTATTCAAACAATGGGACGTGCAAGAATAATGGATTCGATTAAACATCTGAAAATGTCGTTTTTGTATTACATTAAATCGAGTTTAGTAGATTCCTGAAGATTTTCGGGGGAATCGTGACATCGCGAAAACTATATAAGATATGTGTGGAGTACAAGAACGTTTGTTAGTCAGTGTTTCGACATCATCAATGAAAACGGTGAGTTAAAAGTGGTTTTAGATCGAGCTGATACTCAGGACTGTTCTGATTTTTACGCTACAAAGTGTTAATGGAGTGATAGTAAATACTTAATATGGATGATGGCGTGTGCGGATTATGKTTTTTCTGTGATATTAATTGTGATACCAATTAAAGAAATTGTTTTAAAGGCAATTTTCAATTTRGGCAATGAGTGATTTTATTTGATTTATTTATTWTTTTTTTTTGTTTTCATTTAAAGTTAAAAKAATTATTGTTTTCCAATTTTTTTATTTTACTTTTTTTACRCAACTGTTACTTTGAATTATTTTGTGTCMGGCTAAYAGGGYATTTTTGCTTTGTTTRATGCGTTCAAGAAGTAATAAGTAAGAAGGCTAAAAATATACTTGACTGAAAAATATTCGCAAATAAATTTTGATGATGAAAAACTAAGATCGAGTCAATARAGAAACACAAAMATTTTCTCATTAACTGGCCACAGTTTGGTAAAAATATTCCTAACGCTTGTTTCATTCACAATGAAATGGGRATTCTTCTGGAAAGTTAAAAAATTCAAATTAAATTYCATACAAAAAAMGCAATTTAACTCTAATTATCGGGTTTTATTCGGCTAATTTCAATTTCCAGCATGACTTGTTGAAGATTCGGCATAATCTAAATGGTCATTTGAGAAATAGTTTGGCATGCAAATTATTCGAGTCGTAAGAAAATGAGCATATAAAAAGTGTCTGATACGCTATTAAACAGTGTTTTTCCAAATAAGTTTTGTTTTATGTTTATCTTCTTTCAAAGAAAATGCTAAAGTAATATTTCAAAACATTAATTTATTTTAATTCTATTTAATTTTTCAATTCTCAAAAATATTGGGAAAAGTAGTAAATTTACCTAGTTTTAGTAATTAATAATATACCAGTGACATAAATAAATATGATGATCAAAATAATTATACCACTAATTAACGTGAATTTCAAGATAGAAATCCGAATTTTGCAGAGCCGAAACCAAACTAATTATGCCTTAAAAAATGTTTAATTAATTTTCTGTTTGTTTGGACGCATGTTGAGAATATTTCAAAAATGATCCAGATCGCTGAAAATAGAGAGCAATTATTAAATCAATTTTATAAGGACAACGCATTCAGACTATAAATATATAAAGAATAACTGATCATCCAATAAAATATTTGGATCGATTGTATATTAAAAAGCGCTGGCAAATAAAATGACTTGTTTATAAAGAGTAACACCTATTTTAAGAATTTATTTACCGTGAATAAATGCACTTTAGTGTGCATTTTAACTGTATCAAATTATGCGCCAATTAAAAATAATCGTATTTATTATTAAACAATAATTACCTTTAAGTTCCGGTAAAAATAAATAATGTTCCAAATAGTAAAGAAAATTGCAGTTTTTTGGGGTCATAACGGCTAGAAGTTATCTATCCTACATCCGTTTTTTATGTTTTTATAGTTACACTTAGTAGCTGTACTGTCGTATAATCGTATTAATGTATGCTATGAATAATTATAATCTGAATCAAGTTTCTATTTCCTAATCGGTTACGTTTTATTTTAATTAATTTAACCTTTACATTTTTGAATTAATTTATTTATTATGTATTTTCTAATAATTGGTTCAGGGTTATGAGAATCTGCATGAAGATGTGAGATAAACAAAAATTGATGATATTGGAAATGCTATAATGAAGGTGAGAATACAGGGTCACAATTTTATCCGGAAAAATAATTCATTATAATGTGGTTCAAGGATGTGAAACTTGATATTTAGATTACAATTGAGTTGAAACAGAGCCAAATATTATTAATTTTTGTACCTCAGTTTCAAAAAATAAACTTGGAAGTTACCGCGTTTTAGTCTTTATTTAATTTGAAATTCTGCTTCTAGCATCTAGATGTTTATGAAAGAATAACATTTTAAGCTTTTCTTACTTTGGCACTGGATACTTGCCTTAATCACATCAAGTACTCAGTGTAGTTGATAACAAATTACTCTAAGTACTAGGCTCAAATTATTTAAAAGAAACAAATAAACATTTGAAGAACTTTATTGAAACTACAAAAAGGTGATTTGGATCAATATTTAATTATTGTCTGCATTATTCATTTTTTTGTATCCGGAATCTTGACCTTACCCCAAGACAAATACTTGCACAGTACTTCACAAAGATCCTTATCTATGTCTGGGCAATTTCCTATTTCTTAGGCACGTGGCCATCAACCATAAACAGGTAGTAAAAGGAATTACCTATGACAAATTTGCAATTATAAATCTGCCTTGATTTACCAATCGTTTCATTTTTCTAATTGTCGCTACTGGAAAGATTATTATCTCAGCTTTCAGCACGAATTTAATGTAAATAAGAACTCGCAACAAGCAAACAACGTTGACTTTTTATTAGATTGATTTATAAAAACAGTGGGGTTTAGTACGCATTTGTTTTGCGAATGGAAATAATTAGATACTCAAAGAAAGAAGAAAAAAAATTTTTTTTTCTGTTCTGAAAAAAATCTAAGGGTGTTTTCAGCTAAGTGCTTCCCGTATCACTTTTTACCCAACAATAACAAGAGACGCTAACGGAAGCGAACTGATATAAAACACGCGAAAATTTGCGACAAATAAATATCTCGTTAGTTATATTTGACGGAAACTTTAGGGAGCTAAAAAACAGTAGAAACGTACGATTTTTATTTAAAATAATATTGAATTTCAAAAATTGAAAAAAAAGAAGTTGTAAACAACATTTATAATTTCTGTTTAAAATTGTGCAAACATTAATAAAAAATACTACACATTATTTGCTGAAAAGTGTATACAAACTTTCAACCACATCAATAAAAAATTGGCATTATTATTTATATTTACTCCACTTTCTATTCACTTTTTATGACGTTTGTTTTTTGTGGGTTAATAACAGTACACATTTCGATTTTTTTATTAAACTTCTGTGTTGTGTGTGAAACAGTACTGGTTGTTTCGTAAATGTTGCTTATTGATTTAAGTCTTTTTAAAGGAAATGTTTTAAGTATATTTTACTCACAAAAAAAACAAACCCAAAAGACAAAATGAAAAATAAGTTTAACACCGCGTCAACAAGATGCAAGTTGAAAAAAGTGATTATTGAAAGTTCCGGTTTTGCCCTCTAATTACTACTAATTTTAATAATGATCACAGCAAATGAGGTAGTTTAAGATTTTTAGAATATTACTCAAGTTTATTGATTTGAACATAATTTGCTTAAGGTCGTCAATAAAGTATTAATTCTAAAATCGCTGCTTTTATACATTCTAAGACATTTTGCTTTTTGTATCTATAGATCTGATACTTCCTTTGATTAATAGTAATGTAAAAAATATTAGAACACCATTCAAAAGAAAATAAAGATTTATAGACAATGAGCACCGATTAATCATAAGTTTTCGTTCGCAATCGTCGGTTTTCATAAAATCGGTTACAAAATTTGAGAGAAATCTGGTTACGGTCGTCAATAATTTTGACAATTTTTCCGGTCAGCGTTATTCTACAAACAAAACATTTTGTTTGTAGAATTTTTAATTGGATTGCGATACGCCTTCTAGTTATTTGTGAATTATATTTCCATTTCTTCCTGAATCAGCCTGTATTTATATTAAACTGTTGTTCAAATGATGAAAATTTACAGATTAGTTATTTTCACTGTTTCAGTGAAATCAGTTATTATTATAAACTCCAACTTCTTTATGTAATAATTAATGAAATTTTTCTTTTCAAATTATTCACTCGAATGTAGGTATTCATTTTAAGAAATTACATTAAATACCGTGTGCTTTGCGTTTACGCAACTAATCATCTATTGTCCAAAAACTTACCAATTACCAAAAAAGTACATAATCGACATTAACGAGGTTAAAGTTTATAACGCTTAAATCGCAGTACATATAAGGTGGCGATTGAAATGTTCTTGGTATAATTTCCGTCTTGAGGGCAACCAAATTATCCCATTCGACTAATTAATTAATCTTACATAATCGTTACTCTTATTAATTAATATTGCGTTATATAAACGATTATAATGTAATAATAAATTCTGTCAGTGTTAGCAGTAATAGATTGAAATAAATCTTGCGAAAGCGAGTTGTACACGGGTGGTGCAAGTTCAAAATTTGGAAAGTGCCAGCATGTTGAAGAAAGTTTAATTTTTAATTGTTGAAAAAAAAAAGTATTGGTGTATTATAAAAGTTAATACATTTATTACTTTAATCTGACGTACTTTTTTGTCAAATGCAAATGTATTGCAAAATAAAGTTTTTTCAATATACATACATATTATTTTTATACGCAGGACGATTTTCCCTTTGCGACTAGACGAGATCAGCATTTTTAATTTTTTTTAAGCATTGGATTACCTAATTATTGGCTTAATTTTTTCTTGGGTTTCAGAAAAAGAGTATATAACATTCTATTGGAAATCCATTAATAAAATAAATCTATTTACACGTTAGGACCTTAAATTACATTCAGTTCAATCAAAGTTCACCCACATTTAATAATCGAGTGATCATCTTTAAAAATATTTCCTGCGAATTTTAATATTTAAACAATTTTACAACATTTTTGTGCTCAATTAATTCTGATTAAGTGCGGATGTCTAATTTAATTGTTCGATGTTCCAAAGACTGTTTGCGAATAGTTTAGACTGGCACTATTTATTAAATAAAAAAATACCTGTATCCTCTGCATTCCTCATTTAACGGACTCCAGCATAAATATTGTTAGCATTTATTAATCTCACAGTCAAACTCAGAATCGAGCGCTTTATAAAAGCTGAAATTAAATTTATAACTAAGTTCCTTTAGTCATCTTAATAAATATTATGGACTTTATCCTTCACTTTTTCATATTACTCGCTGCAAAAGTCGCAATCACTTGCACAAAACAAGCTTTATTTGCTATGTCACTCATTTTAATATTATACACAATTAAAGTGCCGTCGTATAATATAATGGGTTATATTTATTTTTGATTTTATTATGATTTTATGCATTTAAAATTACCATTTGTGTCCGCAGGCTGACGTAGGGCATATGGTATCTCAATGCTCTTAAGTGTATTTACTTTATAAGAGTTGTTATTGAATCTTCGGCATTTATTCAAAATATCAAAATTGCATGTTGAAAAGTCGTACTGCCTACCTGGTAAATGCTATATAGTGTACATTGCGTTACAATGGCTTTGAACAAAACTTCAGATGTTAATAGCTCTTCAAATTAAATCAAAGAACCGGTTTCATTGATTTCTTCATACACTCATTCATAGTATTCATCGTCAAATTATTTATTGTGCTTTATGCAATATTTAATGCTGATCTTGAAATTAGATATTAATACTGCAACAAGTAAATGACGAATATAAAACGTCTTCAAGATGGATCAAAGAGAAGCCATTGTTAGAAAGTGTGTGTCAGGGACAGAAGATATGCACACTAATTAAGATGGACAAGATGCTATTTCCTTAAACATCACTTCATTAATCTTCTTCATTTTGTATTAAAAAGCGATATCAATGTATTGATCGGAAAAATTGAAATATTTTTCAAATTATGCAATTCAGATTGCATAATTTGAAATAATAATAATACTAATACCCTTGATGTGTGATAGTTTATATTATATTATATGCAGTTAAGAATAAGGGAAGCGTTACACGATAATTTAGAAAATATCAAGTAGCAAATAATATTTTAAAGATACTGACGGGCAATAAAAAAAGTTTACTGTTTAAATATTTTTCGTAGATCTCGGTTTTAGATGCTGCATACTATTTTGCTGGTCGCTTTTCTTCTGCGTGCATTTTATTGTTATCTATCGTTAACAACAAATCGGTCGCAAACAAATTTTCAATTCTTCATATTGTGATTATTTTAAATTTGTTTTATGTCTCGCATTTTCAACGGAATCTTCCCTAAATAGGTGTTTTTTATTTCATTTATAAAAGTCATTGATTATGATAGAAAATCTTATATTCAGCTACAAATTGCAAATGCAGGTGAAAATTGAATGAATCAGAGTTGAGCAAGTGCAAAAAAATCAATGTTGCATCTTTAATTTTACTTATAAAATGACATCAAATGCGGTTTTTAAGACAATGTTTTCTAATGTTTTATGTCATTTTAGATACTTATACTGCTAGCCCTTTTGGGGCTCACAAAAGCTAGACCGCAGTTCCAGAGGCAGCAACAGTTTCAACAATTTAGGCAAATAGTGCAAGCTCCTCTAACTTACATCTTGAGATATGATGCCAATTTGGGATTACCAACTGGATTTTCATACGCGTAAGTAAAATATTTGATTAATTTCCAAAGGTTTATTCTTTCATTACTGGGATTGACTATCCTGAAATATACAGCAAAATTCGTAGGTACATAACAAGAAACCCAATTAAAAAAATATTTTGTAACTAAATTATCTGTGGGTTTAGAACCTTTTTAGTTCGATATAAAACAAGTTTTTGTAGCCCCCAAGTATGTAAGTTGCTCTGTATTAAATTATACCAAATATACTTAAGCTGTTAAATTGAAATGAGTGTAGTTTCTATATAAAACCTTCTTTATGTAATAATCATATTACTGTATAAGTAAGGTGGTAAAAAAAATTACAAATGAAAAGTTCGATGTAACTAAACTGACTTCAGAGACAAAATCTCCCATTTACAATTAAATAAAAACATTTTCAGTGACTCAAAAACTTTATATTTGTTATAATATTAACATACCTATAATGTTCTATTATTGCATCATACTTTTTCTATCAATTTCTTATTGCTTCTTTTTTATTTAACAAGTAATTCGTATTAGGTGCGAATTTTCGCTCGAAAGTAATTACGTTCTCGCAAAAATATACCTATTGTGTTTTGAATCTCATTTTTTGAATTTAATTTTTTTCTGGTTACAAATTTTACTTATCAATTGCAGTCATTTTCCGGCTGCAGCGGTAAATCAAAAAACATTAGGTTTAGCTGTAATTTTCCTAAATGTTACTTTATTTGTTGCTTGAATAGTAAATTAAAAGTAAATAGTAAAAATATTTCTAGGCACTGAAGAAACCGCAACGAAATAGCGGTTTTATAAATTATTCTAGTGTTTGAAACACTGAATGATTCTACACTTTATTTATTCAGCGTTCTTAGATATAAATCAAGAAATACTTCTTATTTTTATAGAATAATTGTCTTCTGTAATATTTCATATCATTTGAATCTGTTAAGTTTATTCAGCTGTTCACGTAGATTTGCGAAAAAATATTCCGTTTTTTTCCCAGATGAAAAAAGAAGAAAGTTATATCCTACAAATAATAGCAGTTTTTCGCATATTTAGATGCAACTAAACTCGAAACTTTTGATAAATTTTTAAGTTTTCCTTCGGAAAGTGCCAATATCAAACAAAAATTGAACCTGTTAAACCCCACAATTATGAATTGTAATAAACATTTGTCACCTTGAGGCAATTCCTACTTTCATTCGAACAAGTTAGATCAATTTAAAGTCGATTTTCTGGAATCCACTTAGAAGTACGGAGTTTCTCACGCATTATACCGTAATTTACTTTCTCATCTCATGATCGTGCTCAAATGTATCATTAACACAGTTAGAAATTTCATTCGCATTAATACCAAATCAGCTGAAGAATATCAAGCACAAACAATATAGATGTAAAATGTAAATGTTTATGACCCCACACCCACATATCTATACGGGGTGTTCTATTACGATTGTCTTAATTATTTGCTTAACTTACATCGGCTGCATATTTTGCTATTTTATATATTATTATATTTTTCATTATTTATATTTAGCATATTTTTATCAGTAGAAGAAAGATTTATATTTTTCTAAATAAATCACTTGTGTCTCAAAATACTGCTCAATTCCAGTATTCAAGTTATGCTAGTAAAATCCTTGAAAATAAGCAGTTTAAAGTAAAATTATGCGAGTAAAGTTGAGAATTTCAAAATTATAGCTTAGAGATTTTTTATTTTTTGAATGAGCTGTTGTTGGAGATTTGATCGAAATTTAAGACGAAAGGAAAGCCTAGTAAAGAAAACAATTTTTATTAGTTTTGCTTACTTTTTAGTAAGTCGTTGTTTTAATTTAAGTCGATAAAATCTGAGAAAGGACTACTAACTGCTGGAATCAAATAATTTTTATTGTTTTCAATATCAGGGTTCAAACCAGCGACGGATTCAACAACGCAGTGATTGGTGAAGTTAAAAACCAAGACACCCAAGAAGAATCGCTAGCAGTAGAAGGACAGTATTCCTACGTTGGAGATGATGGTAAAACATATACAGTTTACTATAAAGCAGACGAGAACGGGTTCCAACCTTCTGGGGAACACATTCCACCTGCAGCTAACACTTCGAGGAAGTTAGGAATTCCTTCAGCAGCCCTTGCTTCGTTAGCTGGTGGTGGATTAGGCTAAATTTACTATTTAAGTTTTATTGAAATAGTAATAACAGATTCAGTAATTCGAACTTTTGGAAAATACTTTTAGCTGTTTAATTACTGATTTCAGAGAAGAAATTTAGTACAATTAGGCAAAATCTACCAAATTCACTGCCAACTTTACTGTTATTATGCGATGTAAATAAACATGTATTTTAAGAAGCGGGTATTTTATTTACAATTTGTTTATTGCGAAACATTAGTTAAAAAATGCACTAATGAAATAAACAGAATTAATAGTAAGTTATATAGTGTTTTGCAAACAAATCGCTCCAATTTAGTTTTTTACGTTTTACGAAATAGGGAAAAAAGTCAGTACCGCTTTAAAAAGTAAAAAGTAAACACTTTTTCTCTGCGACTAAGTATAAAGAAAATAAGGCAAGTTATGGAACATGCAAAATATTACGCCAAAAAATACAAAATTGTAACGATTCTGAAAATCTGCGCTTCATCTCGTTGTTTATTTCATTTTTAGACACAAAACCCGGAGCAAATATACTAAACAGAGTTAATCATTAATATTGCACAAAGAGGTAAAAGCAGTAATATTTGGTATAAAATTAATAAAAAATATTTTGTGCTCAGAGTAAAACGGAGGATGCTAAATCGAATTAAACAACTACGACGAAACGAATGACTAAAAATGAAGGTAATTGAATCGACAATTAATATACTGAAACTAAATTGAGCAATTTAATCCAACACAAACCGTAAAAATACTTTAATGCTAATTAAGTTGGATTCGTTTTATTTCAACACAAATTGTTCTTAATGACAATCCTGATTAAAAATAAGAATTTTACGTTGTATTTTTCGGAAATATTTTCTCTAGCTATGCAGTGTTCGAAAATTATAATCTGACTTTCTTATTTTAATTGCAAACCCCTAATTTTCAAGTCAAAGTTTAGATATTTATTATGGATAAGCTGCTGATTGAAGAACTAAATTTACGAGTGCTCTATATCGACCACTGAAGAGTTCAAGTTAAAGTACAACAAAAGTTACTAAACAGTAATAAATTGAAAAGGTAGAAAAGCCGAGTAAAAAATGTTGTTTTTGAAAATGGTTCAAAACCCTATTGAGAATACAAAACCTCTTTAATTTAAAATGTAATTCAGGGAAAAAAATACCAATAAATGCAGCAGATTCCCTTCCAAGACAGTAGAAAGTCTAATTTATACAAAAACTACACTTGTTTTAAAAGTTTTCTGTTACTTTCGTATTAAAACAAGAAATTGAAATAACGCAATCCAGATAATTTCTCGTCGTTCCTAGAAGCAAAAATTATTATATCATTATATCCTAGTAGTAAATATTACATGCAATAATATAATAAAATATAAGTCACCAATATCTAAAAGCGATCGTCGGTTTTAGGGGAGTGTTGTACTTTAAGACGTTTTTAATTTGTTTTTCAGGCCACTTTTTAAAGCAAGTATGTTATCTTCTCTATTTAGAAAGATATTTTCAAAAAATATGCAGGGTGCCATGGACTAACCCAAACTAACCATTTAAAAGCAAATCGAAACTGCTGTTAATTCAGCTGAAAAGTAAACTGTTGCAGCACTATAAAGCTGTTACAATTTATCGTATTGAACTTTTAAAATTACATCATTTTTCCCAGCACGTATTGCATGGTCTTCATGATTGAACTGAGAAATACCTCTAAAACACCGAAAACACTAAAGCAGTAATATATACTTACACATTTATTGATTATAATCTGTATCTGGAAAACCAGTCTGAGCTGGAGTTCATATTTTCACGACTCAAGATAAAAGTAGAGAAAAACCCAAGCTAAAGTATATGGGGTGATTTATTCTTAAATTCAATACATAAAAAATGTGGAAACTAATAGAGCACACACACCTTTCGTTTGAAAACACTTAGGAAAATGTAGAAAAATTAATCAGTATCGATAGTGATCAGGCTTAAATGGCCCATTGACCGGGACTCCAATATATTTGGCCTGTTCCGGGCTAAGTTTGGTCAGCTTAACGCCTAAATGATCCAAATGCAGTCTGGCGACTTCTTCATCTAAAATCTTTGGCAACGTGTGAACTCCCACCTTATAGTCTTCTGGCTTAGTCCAGAGTTCGATCTGAGCTAGGCATTGATTCGTAAAACTATTGGACATAACAAACGACGAATGTCCAGTGGCGCAACCCAGATTGACTAAACGGCCTTCCGCAAGTACGATAATATGATTGCCATTGGCCAATTCATATCTGTCGACTTGGGGTTTGATGTTAACTTTGCTTTTATGGTTCTTTTCCAACCAGGCCACGTCGACTTCACAGTCGAAATGCCCAATATTACAGACGATTGAGTCATTGCGCATATTTAGTAAATGCTCGCCCAAAATAATGTCTTTGTCCCCGGTGGTTGTAACGAAGATTTGGCCCTCTTTGCTCGCTTCTTCCATTGTTGTTACTTCATATCCTGAAACAAAATTGAGGTTTTCCAACCATGCCAAGTAAAACCTAAAGCCAATGAGAATTATTAATATATTCACTTGCCTTCCATAGCTGCCTGAAGTGCGTTGATTGGATCGACTTCAGTGATCAGCACTCTGGCCCCGAAAGCTCGCAGCGACTGGGCACTGCCTTTTCCAACATCACCGTATCCAGCAACGACGCAAACCTTTCCAGCGATCATCACATCAGTTGCTCTCTTAATACCGTCAATTAGAGATTCTCTGCATCCATATAAGTTATCGAATTTGCTCTATAAAACATTCTATCATAAACATCCCATAAAATCGAGCAAATAAGAACTCGGTAATGTAACGAATCAGTCACTTACTGCTTCGATTGTCTGGTAAAAGTTACAAGTCAGAGTTACTTAAAACTAAGTAAATACCTTGGTAACAGAATCATTAACATTGATGGCTGGAACTTGCAGTTTTCCAGACTTCAGCATTCTGTACAAATTGTGCACTCCAGTAGTGGTTTCCTCACTGAGACCTTTGCAGTTCTTCAAATATTGCGGGTACTTTTCATGAACCAGATTCGTTAAGTCTCCTCCGTCGTCAAGTATAAGATTGAATGGCTTTCCTAATAGATGGAAAAGATTCGATAAATAAATGACAATAAACTAACAGAAGAAATTACCATCAGGAAATACAAGAGTTTGTTCAATGCACCAAATAAACTCTTCGTCGGTTTCGCCTTTCCAGGCGTAAACAGCGATCCCCTTTTTTGCCAATGCTGCAGCCGCATGGTCTTGGGTGCTGAAAATGTTAGAACTGGACCATTTCACCTAAAAATAAATCATATAAATTAATTTTATGTCGCAACAACCCATTGAAATACACTAATAACAAAACAAAATACAACTAAAACAAAACAAACCAAAGTTAACAATAAGTCCATTCCAAAGCGTTTTCGTTACGATGAGACAACTTATGATCAAACTTAATAACGCAAAGACAATTCTGAACTCCGACATGTCGAAAAAACATTTTTGCTTCCAGCTTTGTAACGATACGGAATTTATTGAAAATTCCAATTAGGAAAATAACAATTTTCGGAAGCTCGATCAAAAAGGCCTGTATGATTATTTCGTTATTTACAATTGCTTTGAAGAATAAGCAAAATATTCAATAACTCATCCAAAGGAGGGTTGGGAGTTTTGTTTGACGCCTAAAGATCATACGTCTCGAAACAGTGCATGGAAATGTGTTTGATAGTTCAAAATTTTAATATTTTTTATTTTGCTTCCATCTCATACCTTAAGAATTTTTAATAAAATCCAATTAGCGAACAAATCCTAGTCCGATTAAAAACGCTTATAGGTTTAGGCAACCGTTTAGTTTCGAGCGGACGTGCCTTTAGCGAAATCCAGCAATTTTTTCAAGTCTGTAGCTTTTACTAATTAGAAATGATCATTCATTTTGATGAATAAAGACGAAATAGTGTGCATCTCAATAAGATTGGAATACAAATTTTGGGGTTTATTACTTTAAAGCCCATATTATTGATATAGTGAAACATTTTTCATTTGCGCTCTGTTAACTACTCTTTTTAGTACACACATAGCATGTATAATCTTTCAGTCTGAAAACACATCTTTTACCATACTGATAATGTATGATATTGTAAGATATTTTTTAAGCAGCAATTAAACTCATTTTCTATTGAAAGTTGAATATCATAGAAATAAAATATCTAATATAAAAACCATCAAGAATATTCCTAAAGTAAATATTATATCATAGCCGGGTATTTTATGATGATTTAAGTTGAATCAAATTAGCAATATCAATACACATATTTTACATTGCCCGGCCAATTAAAGAGACGCGAAATTCGAAACTCTTTTGCTAATTTAAAATTTAAGTTGTTAGTTAGAGAAAATATAAAAATATCACGTATAAAATCGACAAATACTTTTAATATATTCCTATTTCTTCTATCATAACAGAGCATGCAATTATGATTTCAATTTAAACAAATTAATTTCTAATAATATTAGTAAATGAGTGGTTTTACAATACATTAAATACCTTAAAAGAGGTTTAACTGAATTTGTAAGCAGTAATTAAGTATAATTCTACAGCAATTCATAATATAAATTAATTAACAAAGAAATATGTTCTCAATAATATAAGCCAATAATAAGTATTTTGAATTGATTACTATCTTCTTCCATCATGACTGAGCAGTTTATTATCATTTAAGTTTAAACAAATTGCGTAACCGTTTTGTACATCGAAAAAGGTTATCATTTAGTCTAATCGCCTTGTACTGTTACAATAGCAACTATTCGCTTCACAATGTCGTGCTTATTAACATGATCAAGATTTTATGAGAATAGAAATACACATTTGAATGTACAACTTTTGTGTGCAAACGGGCATAGAAGCATCTTTAAACTGAAAAATAGATTGACTCACTTTCTAAAGAATTTTACACAATCTTAGACTTTGGCATGAACTAAACCTCGAATAATAATTGATTTTCAAGCAACAATAAGATATAAGCGAATGAAAATTAAAAAAAAATAAGTCCAAATATTCTAAAATAGGATTAGCCTAGACAAATTGGACAGACAGTACTTAAGCATGTATACATATAAATTAATATAAAGAATATGTGAATAACTTGAATGCAAATATCAGCTTTTAAAATTAATTACCAAAAACTCGAAAATCTGTTTTCCAGAATGAAGTAGGTAATAATGAACTTATTGTTGAATGAAACATATCGATATTATGACCTATTTGGGATAATCATTATTTATATCAAAATTTAATCATTATTTATATCAGAATTTAATCGAAAAAATAAAAGCGAATAGAAACAGTAACATTTATATTGAAAGATATTACTATAAAATTAATGCAAAATATGTAGAAGTGCTATATTTTACTTTTGCTCTTCAATGACAACATTTACCAACAATCTTAAATTAACACAGTGCGACGTAAAGATTGGTAAGAAATAAGAACAGTGAAAACCAGAAAATATTTTTTTTCCGTATGAAGTTTTGCAACACGAACATTCCGTTCTGTGGGGTTCAGGGTGGTAAGTAATTTTTAAAATACCATTTTACTAATTTTATAATAAATGAGCGTTGTGTTAATGCATAATAAGTGGCAAATAATTGTTTTCAATAGAACTCGATCAAAGCTTTAAAACGATAAAAAAATAAATCCATGTTAATGAAAACGCTAAACTAAAAACTGACAGTTTGTTGAGAAAGTAGAACTTAAAAAGACCAACTAAACCCCATTGAGGGACATACCTCAGCACCCAATTCGATCAAAGTTTCAATCAGAACTGCAGTTTGAATGGTCATGTGAAGACAACCGGCAATCTTCGCCCCTTTGAGGATTTTCTCAGGTCCGTATTTCCTGCGAAGCGCCATCAGCCCTGGCATTTCATTCTCAGACAGACTGATGTCTTTTCGGCCCCATTCAGCCAATTTGAGATCAGCTAGAGGTACAAATAAACATGAATTTTGTATGGAACATCACAAAGCAACCAAAACTTACCGACTTTAAATGGAACTTTGGTCATTTTGGCAAAGTTTTATTTATAAATGTCTGCTCGCAAAAGATGCTAGACTGTGCCGGCACATGGACCAAATACGAACTGATTACTGAAGCTGATGTAAAGAAAGTTTGGTTATCTTGCGCGATTGAGGTTATTTTATGACAAACATGATGGCGATTTTTTGTCCTTGTTCATATACCCAGAAATGAGATGACTAACAGAGATGCAATGTGTTGACGCGTAGCGCAGAAGAATGGGGCAGAAGTAGAGGAATTTGTTTTTTGCCTGACAGCTTCACATTGTGAGGTTAGTTTAGTTGCCTGACATTAAAGTTCTTGTTCAAGAGAACAGTTTTTGCTAGTAATTGAGTGGATTGTGTTTTATCTCAACGGTGAAAATGACTGAACACTTGCACGACGTTGTACTACCCGATAATATAACAGAAGAGCTTCTAACCAGCCAACATATTGATTTTATAAAAAAGTATGGCGAAGAGCAGAACAAATTTGAGTACGGAATGACTGATTACCTTCGACTTTCCGGTATGTATTGGGGCTTAACTGCTTTGGAATTGATGAATGCGGGCGTCACAGACACTCAGGATGCTATAGTAGAATATATCGTCAAATGCCAAGACCCAGATAGTGGTGGAATTAGTGCTTGCATAGATCACGATCCTCACATTTTGCATACTTTGAGTGGTATTCAGGTAACCATTCAAAATAGTATCATGCAAGTCCAACATTTGCCTGTTAGATTTTAGCGATGTTTGACAAATTGGACGCAATTGATATAGAAGGAGTGGTTAAATATGTTCAAAAGCTTCAGCAATTTGATGGAAGCTTCAGTGGTGACAAATGGGGAGAGGTAGATACACGCTTTTCCTTTTGCGCTGTTATGATCTTATCCATACTGAATCGAATGAGCGCTATTAAGGTTCAGAAAGCTGTTAAATTTGTGAAGTCATGCAAGAACTTCGATGGAGGTTTTGGATCTAGGCCATTAGCCGAAAGTCATGCAGGATTAACATATTGCTGTGTGGGTTTTCTGTCCATTACAAAAAGGTATACCTTCAAGCATTAATAGTCACTTAAAATGTTCGTTACCTTTTTTTATCGTACTGGACGTTTACTTTCAGTCACGCAAAAGGTAATTCTTTACATATGTCTCGCCAAATAGTTCTCATATCCCTTAAATATGATAAGAAAATTCAACGGATTTAAACGCCTAACTTACGAACAATTCGCGTTGAGTCAGAAAACAAAATTGGAGACCAAACACACAAAAGACAAACGGGACATAATTAAAACAGGGATTAGCAAATTAAAGAAGTATTTAATTGGTTTCAGATGTTTTTCCTTCTATTCTAGATTATGTACATCGAGTAGTTGATACGACTATTTTTTCTAATTTTTATTAGCTTTTACCTTATGTAAATAATTACCCTTTAATGTTTTATATGCGTGTTGTATAAAACAGTGAAACCTGAAGTAATAAGCCAATACCGCTAAAAGAGTATACAGAATACACTTCAATAATACTTTTCAATATCCCTTGCGAGAGTCCTGAAATAAGTTGATGTGTAAACATTTAAAGTAGGTACTCAACCTTTGCGAAAAATTATTAGTTAATTGGGTTTGTCCTCATGTTTGGCTAATGCACGCGCAGGTTAAAATTCTACAAGCTTTAAATATCTGCACCAAGTTTATTTGTTGCTGTACTTTGTTAGAATATGTAAATTATACTATGACTGTCTTCGGCAGCTTATTAGACAATTAAAAAGTGCACGTCAATAATTTTAAATTACAAAATAAATGAAAAATTTTGTATTTTGGAAAAGTTCAGATTTTACCAAAAGTAAGAAAATCATACGGAAATCAAATAGCATAAGATAATTTTATTGAGTATTATTATTATTTTATTATTGTTATTGTAATTATTGAATCCATTTTATTTCATACGAAATACGGCGCGAAGACTAAAACTGAAAATCAAAAGAATCAAATCACTTTCGACTCGATATTCGCTACTTCGGGCTTCCTTTAGTAACGCTTACCTCTTTAACACCTATAATTTCTCACTCATTAACTGGAATTGCTTAAGAAAAGCCTTTTCCAACAGCACACAGCCTAAGATTCAATTCCAATAAAAATTGTTCTATTATACTAAACTATGAGATAAATAACTTTAACTTGATTACAGATTTGATGTGTTAGACATAGATAATTTAGCTTGGTGGCTTTGTGAAAGACAAAACCCATCAGGAGGATTTAATGGCAGGCCTGAAAAGCTTCCAGACGTTTGCTATTCATGGTGGGTACTCGCAACTTTGGCGATGCTTGGTAAATTGACGTGGATAGATGGTGCAAAATTGCAAACATTTATTTTTGCTTGCCAAGACCAAGAAACAGGTAAAATAACGATAGCAAAAAGAACTTACAAATAACCCAAAATTTACTGGTTTTCCTGTTAAAAAAATTATGTATCTTCTACTTCTAAAATAGATCTTTTTCTTAAAAGTTTTCTAGTCAACTTATAATCTTTTACTTACTTCTCAAAATGCCCCTAAAAAATAATCTCCTTGGACATTAAAAAATACGGAAATTAACATGCTTCTGTGTTAGTTTATTATAACTTGAGCTAATGTTTGTTGCTATTTAAGGAGGGTTCTCAGACAGACCTAAAGACGTGCCTGATCCATTCCATACTCTTTTCGCCGTTGCAGCTCTTTCCCTCCTCGACTATGAGAATATACAGAAAGTAAATCCTACATATTGCATGCCACAGCATGTTATTGATAGATTGCAACTAGACCCTAAAATTCTACCCAGTTGATTTTGAACGCACTTGTATTATATTTGTAATTTTGTTCTTACAAGAAAGAATTCTTACTGAATTTGCATAATTTTCGCACAGTTGGAAATAATTTTGATAACGTAAAAAAATGTGTTATCATTTACCTTAAGGATTTTGTTACTGAATTTATGAATGCAACTGTGAAATTAATTATACCTACTTATTTTTTTCATACATATGAGGTTTGCAAATAAATTAATTTAAACAAAATTGCGTCATTATTTTTCATGGACTAATTGAGGTGCAACGGGATAAAATGCTAAAAAACATAAAAACTGATATAAGAACACCTTTATATTTTAATGCTTGCCAAAAAGTTGCAAATAGTGACACGGCAATTAATAATATAAAAAAACGTTTGCATGAAAATAGTCTTTTTAAGCAGTATCCATCGCTTCCACTCTGTCTAATCTTCTGACAGAGACTTCCTCAATATCAATCACTCGAGTTGTTAAAACGGCAGTAGTTCCTAAAAAAATCGAATTCAAATTTCAATTTAAAAAAATTGAACTTATTGAAAACAGTTTTTTTTATTCAACTAGAACCATCAAAGGAAGCTTCATACCAAAATATTTATAATTAGTGGAATAAAATCGTTTATTCGGTAAAATGGAAGTTGAGTTTTTTTATCAAATAAGCTCATAAACTTAAATTAATTGCGTATTCAATTGTGAAATTAAATTTCAACTCTAAAGGTTTATAATTTAAGCAAAAATAATACTTAATCGGAGATTCACGGGCCGTAGTTATTAAACTTACAAAAAAACATTACATGAGCATGAAGCAATGGGCAAAGAAATGGTAAATATAGAATCAAGTGTAACTAGAGTAACAGCCTATTAATAAATTGAGGAGACAGTGGGGTGTGCGAAATAATTGTATAAATAGTCTAGAAAAAATAGTGTTACAGTATTAAAAAATCTTATATTTAAGTAGGGAAGAAGAAAATATACCATTAAAATAAATATTTCACTTTCTCGATAGAAATTTAGTTTGATTCCGCTAAACATTTGATATGAAACAAATGACAATTATGGAAGAAAAATTATTAAAAATGTATTATCAAGTTTTTAAAGAATAATGGAATTTTTAAAAGGTTGTCAATAATTATGTCATGGCTGAAGATGGTTTGCTTTAGAATCAAGAAACTGATTTATTTTTAACCCTGCCATTTTTAGGCCAGTAATTAATAATTACCTTCTTAAGCATACAAACTATTAATATTTACACGACAGTTAAATTACCTTTTGGATATTTGTAGGAATTCTGCTTTTCTCCTTTCTTATTGGCCTCGTCGTAAGTCCTCAAGTACTCTACAGTCCCTTTTCGAATAATGCAAATGTCTATGTTCGATCCAGAACCCAAATCATTGAAAATACCGTAACCGACGGCATCTCGAACCTGAAAATGTATTTCCTCATAAAATCTTAGAGATACGAGCAATACTAATATAATACACGTTGCGCAAAAGGTTAACACCAAACAAGAAAAAAACAACATTAAATGGTATAATAAAAGAGAAGATTTTTGAAAAACTTTTAGTCCAGTCTAAATACATATATAAAATCACTTTTTTATAAACAAACATACCAATTTCACTCCCTCGGCTTCAGACATGTTCGGTTTCCAGCGCGTTTCAAAAACAGCCATTGCAGCCAAGGATCCGGAACCCATAGTAGTATATGGAAGTTTATCGGTTGAACCGTGAGGAAAGATGGAGTAGAGATGAGGTCCTGTTAATTGACTGAGTTTAAAAAAAGACGATGGTGATCTTTGTGCGAAAACACAAGTTCCCAATTATGCTACTGTATAAATAATATAACAGGAATAATTTGTAAATGAACTAAAATTTTTGCGTTGAGGATCAAAACATGGTTTGAAAATTGGGTTTAATTTGCGAAAATTTAATTAAAATTGTTTACTTCTGCACAGATGGCTACATGTAAGCAATTTTCTTTTGTCCATATGTACTGTTAAAATATGCCAATGTGAATATGAATCCGCAATAATGAATTACCAGTAGAATCGACGCCTCCAAGAACCAAAGCAGCCCCAATATGCCCCTGATAGCGGAACAAGTATTGTTTCAGAATCTGGTTTGCAGTAGCAACTCTGGGTACGCGGTTCGTATTAAGGCGATGGAGTTCCAATTGGGACGATACCATTTGAGTGGTCATTTCTGTATCAGCAGCAGTTCCCGCTCCGCAACAACTATTCAAATATCATTTAATGTCTAGGTTTAAGATGAAAATTATGTCGATGCTTGCACGAATTGATCACTTATTTATTAGAATACTTACTACATATTTGGGGCCAAATAATGAATCTTTTCGCAGTTTTTATCTGCAACTGTAGTATCCTCAGTTGCTCTAGTATCAGCGCCAAGGATCACTCCATCTGCGTAGATGATCCCAACAATGGTGGTACCAGTTTTTTGGGCTTTCGGGATTGACAAGCCCTTTTTTTCAAGCATAGCATTTCTGCAAAAAAAATAAAAATCGATTTTTTTACGCGCGAGACGTCAGTTGGACCACTTTAAACCATTGTAACCGTGCTTGTAATTCCTCTTTCAAATTCAACCTCAACGTTTAATCACGGCAAAAATCACAGTTCTCTTAAACAAAACAAATTACTAATCCGCATTGTTAATCGTAAAAGTGTAGAAATCCTTATAAAAAGACCGTTTTTATTTCGCGCTTGTATTCCACATAAAAATTCTCATTTTAAATTTAACTCAATTCAAATGCAAATACTGCTAATATACAAATTCAAATAGAAGTGAGAAAATATCAAAAGCTTTGTCTTCGAAAAATTGTGATTTTGCGTTATAGCTTGAAAATATCTCTTTGCAATAAAACTTCTTACACCCCAGAAAAGTTATTATATTTTCAATAAAAATAACATTTAATTTACGATATTAATCAAAAGATAATCAAATAAAATTTCCTTTTCGTATGAGTCAATATTAGCAACTTTTTGCAAAAAAGTATAAAAATTTTGAGATATGTTGCTCCTCATACTTTAGATACTCATACATAAGAAAATATATAGATTGAAAACTGAATGGGTTTTATTTTAATTAAATTTGGTACATGTTTATTTCAGTAGGTGTCAAATACAGTGGTACATTCAGATATTTTGTTCATAATATTTACATTACGTTTTATTTAATTTGGCAGCTAAAAAATTAGTAAATAGGGCTGGTTTTCTGTAATAAAATATGGTACGTTTTTTTTAAGTACATACAGTCCTTGCTCCAATGTCCAGAAAAAAACGAACAACTGAACGCTAGATAAATATTCTGCCTCTCGCATTTACTTACAGAAATAGTTTAGAGCAGGAACTAAATATTTTAACGCTTTTTGTAGAGTAATTTGTTTGTTGTGTATCTTTTATTATTATTTATACTTTTATAGGAATGTACTTCAGTTTAATAAGCCAAATAAGAACCGTAGGAAATAATATTTATGAATTATACGAAATTAGCGCTCAGTAAAAAGGAATACAAATCTCGGTAATTATCTAGATTCTAGATGATCAGGGAATCGCATCGCGTTTAGCAATATGTACCAACGGCGACACATTTGCCAATTCGGTTAATTTCTTAAGTTTTTCCTGTTTTTGGTTAGATTGGTTAGCTGCATTCTGCCCCAAAATGGGAATTTATCGACTGACATTTATTTATTGTTTTGGTGGACGTCTGTAGTGCAGCATAAGCGCAAAGTCGGTTATATTATAGAGTAGTGAATTTCAATGTCAGTGTAAAGTAGTGGAAAAATGATTTTCTATAAGGTGAGTAAATTGTTAACCGCGAACTCAAAGGTCTTATCATCTACATAATTATCAAGATTTTTTCACAGTTCGCCTTACTTTATCGATCTCTCATGGTGAAAATGCGATTATTTTTTGTAACATTTATAACATCATATGCAGGTCATTTCAAAATTAGAGAGTTCGAGATGTATGAGTGCTGTAAGAAGTTCAATAGGATTAGCCCAGGAGCCCAGAAATACAAAATATTTCAGCTTCTTAATATTCGGTTTAAAGTTTTATGCAACCCATCTAATCTCAACATTAGGGTTGGTGTGTTTATATATGAAAAGTATTTAGCTTGAACTGAAAACAAGTTGAAGTGATGTTTTTCGTGATGAGGATTTCGGAAGCAATGTTACGAAAAAATGGGGTCATGTGCATGGAATCCTGCAATTTATGTTCCCGTCTACCCGAATAGGATTATTCAAAGGGCGATAACTGCTTGCAACAGTTCAAATTTAAAGTTTTTATTGCAATTCCATGTAAACAAGGGTTAGCTCAAAACGAAATGACAGTGCAAATCTATAGAATAAGTTGGTGGTAAGTGAAACGAAAGTAAATCCAGTTAACAGTAACGAATGTTTTCTATATTTTACGCAAATTGATAGTTTATAAACCCACCTGCGGCAATTTTCAAAGGAAAACCCTGGAGCCGGAATTTCAGGACACAAAACGCTAGACATTGTTAATATTTTGATAAGTCACTATCACAGATCGCAGAGGTTAAGAATCTGACATATGACATATGAGTCTGTAAAATACTGCGGGAGCGACTAGAACTAGTTTCAAATTTTCACCGCTTGTAGAAGAAACCTACTTTCATTGTTTGATAACGCAGCACTATGAAGCACAGAACACCTCTGAACTGAAGCTGAGCTATGAAGGTTGTTTGAATGTACTTTAGGATCTCAACAATTTGTTTGTTGCCGGCTCAGTAAATACCGCTCCCCATATGAATGTTTTTATGCAACTAAAGTCTCTATTTAAATTTACATCTTCCTATCCAAAACAAGTAACAATTACAAATTTTCACGATCTTTAGAAACCAGTTGACTCGAAATATTCTGAAAGTTGCATAAAAATCGGCCGGATTGCCGATTGATGCCAGGTTCCTAAACAAACAACTCTCAAAATTGATGTTTTTGAGCAATTGGGCTCCCACTTAAAAAGGCACATCTCAGATATTTTCCAATAATTGATTGAAACTTCTGAAAAATACCCAATAAAAAAATTTGTTTCATAAAAAATAAATTTAGCTTTTTGACTGTCAAGGAGTTTCTTGAAAATTGATAAACTGGTATAATATAGAATTAATTCCCGAAAAAGTTAGTTCATATCGATATAAGCGCGCTCAAAAAAACCTAAAACGAAGAAGAAGTACGTGGCAACCTGAACAGGCGTTAATCTGTGACGTTAATGACGTCATAGATAAAGACAGGTAGAGAATTGTGGGTAGAGAATTGTTGAACTGTTTATAGTAGATAGTTTGCTATTAAATATTGAAAAATATGAGTGAAAACACGGACGATTTAGAACAGTCGGTAATGTTAGCAGCCGCCGCTGCGGATTTACGAGAGTATGAAGAAGCTGAGAGTAGACTACCTGAATTGAAGCATGATCCAGTACCAGTAGAAACTAGTAGAAAAAGTTATTATACCGAGACGAGGTTTTCCGACCAAGAAAGAGACAATAATGTTTGCACGGTAACAAATCGGAAAGAAACCAATGCTGACTCTCATTCTAGGGGTCAGGCTCGTCAGTCTACCAGCAATAAGAGAAGCAGGGAAGATAGCGACGATTCAGACTCACATCCACATAAGAAAGCCGCGCTCATTAAGGAAGTTTCAATAGGAACAAGTCATGCAGAAGTTGTCGCCACTCATTACAATCTCATTGAAGAGAAAGGTCTCCAAGAGAGGTCCAAAAGCAGAGTGATCCATTTACGCAACTTCCACAACTGGATCAAGAGCATGTTGATCAATGAGTACCTAACGAAAATTAGAGACTCGAAAAAACAGCACAACCCCCCGATAAGGGTGCATGATATGTGCTGTGGTAAAGGAGGCGATTTATCCAAATGGCGAATTGGTAATATCAGCCATCTGATTTGTAGTGATATTGCCGAAATGGCCTTAGAAGACTGCAAAAATAGGTATGCTTCATATGTCAAGCAGCGATCTAGGAATGATAGAGGTATATTGAGCATTTTTTAAATTATTTTATACGTGTTTCCATTCAGATGTACCTTCCGTATTTTTCGGATTGTAAGAGGGCCACCTCAACGACAGTAATTTCTCTATTCATTTCTTTAAAATTTGTTTTATTGATTCTGTTGTTTGAGCTCGAATAGATCTCACACTAATATCAGGTGTTTCAGACAGTTCACATCGACCTTTTGCCCATATATGTTCTCTCCATAATTTCAATCCTGTTTCAAAAAACAAATGATTAATTTCCTTATCCCACCTTCTTTTAAAATTTGCAAGTTTATCAATACATATGCAATATACATAGTTACATAATATACATACAATATACAGGGTGTTCCGCACATGATCAAAAGGGTACTGCGATATTCTTTGAATCAAAATAAGGCGATCTGACCTAACTTTTATTAACAAAAATGTCTGGCTCGTCTGCTATGGTTCGCCAAAGTTCTTCAAAACATTTATCTTTTTTGAAATATCGAGAGAATGATACGATGTATTTTGGTGAAACTCGCTGTTAATTTGTTCTTATGTAAGACTCATATTTTGATGAAATAATCGAGTTTAGCCGTTTTGTTCAAGTGGTGAATTCTTGAGTGTCGTGGTACAAAAACTACCAGAACTTTTTATTTGGTGGATGGAATCAACTTAGTTAATGTCTAACATTGTTAAGTGGCAAGGAAACAGAAATATTTTTTTGCAAAAACTATGAATGCTACAATATTTTACAAGCACAAAATTGTGAATAAATGATTAGTGCATCAATAAAAAAAAACTGAGTTGATTCCATCCACCAAATAAAAAGTTCTGGTAGTTTTTGTACCACGACACTCAATAATTCACCACTTGTCTAAAACGGCTGTTTCATCTCGTTCTAAACTCGATTGCTTCATCAAACTATGAGTTTTACATAAGAACAAATTCTCTCGATATTTCAAAAAATATATTTTTTTGAAGAACTTTGCCCATCAATAGCAGAGGAGCCAGACATTTTTCTTAATAAAAGTTAGGTCAGATCGTCTTCTTTTGATCCAACAAATATCGCAGTACCCTTTTGATAATGTGCTTACGGGATACCCTGAATATTTATGTAATATTAAAAAAAAATAATTAAATTTAGTACCTGGTCATTTCAGAGGATTCTTAACCCAGTGATGAAAAAGTGGTTTCAAAAGAAAGTAGCAAATACGATTTTATAAATTTTCTTTGCTGCATGAACAGAAAATAAATATTTTATTGCCACACTGCATACAGGGTGTTTCATTAATATACAGACAACTTTTCAAGGGTGGTAGTAGTAGAGTGGTTGACCTGACTTGTGTCTACATTATTTTGAATTTAATTTGATTGTATTTTTCTAGATTTAGTGTACAACAGGCCAAATGTTCAAAAAAGATCCTAATATGTCTAGATTTAAAAAAAAATATTTGAAGGTACCAATCTCGATCCATTTGCATTTTTAGTATTCATTAGAAGGCTTACTTTCATAAAGAGACTTTTCGATAACTTCTTGGTAAAAATACAAAAAGCCAAATAATGAGGATTTTTCATTGTGGGTTCAATTATTGCAATTACCTAATGACTGTTTTTTGAATTTATTATTTAAGGATGGGGTTCAAACAATATATTTTCCATGGAAGTAGTTCATGGCGATGGAGGCAAAGTTAGATACAGGGAAAAGTTCAAAGACCCCTCTATAAAACTGGATTTAGTTTCGTGCCAGTTTGCCTTTCACTACAGTTTTGAGAGTTTACCACAAGCCAACTGTTGGTTTAAAAATGTGTCTGAATGTCTACAAGCTGGTGGATATTTTATTGGTAAGTATTTGTTGTCCATTGGAGAATATGCATAATCATCTAACTAGGCAGATAACGCAATTGAAATTAAATATAATCCTTACAGTTTAATTGATATATACCAATAATGTTTTCCTAGGGACAATGGTTGATTCTAACGAAATAATAGCCAGATATCGCAAATCCGAAACTGATTCCTTCGGAAATAACGTGTTTGAGGTGAGAGAACTGAATTTCGATGCAGCTAAACCTCCATTATTTGGGGGTAAATATAATTTCGAGCTGTTTGGAATTATAAATTGTCCCGAGTTTCTGGTGCACTTTCCCACTTTTGAGAAATTGGGCAAAAAGTACGGCCTAAAACTGGTCAAAAAAGAAAAGTTTTGGAACTTTTTTGAAAGAATGAAAGACGAAGGTAGGATTTTTTTTATCAAATAGCACGATTGAATTCTGGGTTGGGTATTCTAGATTCTAAGTGAACTATAAATTTGGGCATTAATAGAATAATTAAATAGTTGTAATAATTTAATAAACCTAATATCGGTAGTAATAGAAGGTACACATTAATAGAGCAAATTGAGGAAAACGCACTGAATTAGTTTGCTCTAAAGTAAACAACTTTTTTGTTTCTAAAAAACGCATTTTCTTTCTAATTAAGTGCAAATGTGCCTTACCCTAAATAGAAATGCTGAATTAAAATTATTATATAGGTAAACAACTGTTAACTAATATGGGAGCTCTAGAATCATATCCACCAACAGAAGGCAAAACATTGGTAGGAAATGATGGCGATGACTACACACATGCAAAAGAATTTCTGAAGAATCAGAATGGTGATGATGGTTGTTGTGGTACATTGTCAAAGAGTGAATGGGAAGCTTCGTGTAAGTGGCGACTATTTTTTAAGAAATAAAAAGTCCATATAAAAAAATGGAGAATTGGTTATTTCGGATGTTACTTACTTCTACTTCTCCAAAAAATAAGATTACTTATAATAAGTATTTACCCATAACTAAGTTTCCTTTCATTAAGCAAATTGCCATTTTTTTGATAGTTTCAGATAGGAAATTGATTGACCAACTCGTTTGTCAACAAACATAGAAAATTAATTTTGCATTTTAAAATCCACCTGGCTAGAAAATGGACAAAAATATCACCGTGCAGTTTCTCATTATCTAGCATGCTCAGTAATTTAAATTACACTGCGGAACTTATTTTTAATGGCCCGTTTGGAAGCAAAACGACTGAGGATCTATATTTAGATGAATTTTTGGTCATAAAACGAGTCAAACATTTATTGCTTCATATATTCACAACATACCACTCGGTATGACTAAATTACGTTTTACTGTTAATTTGCGGTGCTTATTCAATATTTAGTAACAAGCTGATTAAAAATGTTTGATGAACTTTACGAAAAACAGGGTACTAAATAATTTCGTTATCTTTTCAGCGTTATACTTGACATTTGCCTTCCAAAAAGTTAAGAACACTTGGAACGCTGACGGAACTCCATGTTACGACATTTAATATGAAATATCAGTTGAAACTTTATAGAAAATATTGGAAAAAGTTGTGAGTACCTATGTTAATATAGCAACATAAAAAGGCTGAAAATCAAATGTATTTTTTTAAAGTAGACACTTCAGCTATAGTTGACGAAATACAGTCAAGGGTTTACCATATTCAAAATCTTGTTTGAGAGAAAACATATCATTTGAAGTTGATTTATTAACAATTTTGTAATGTACATTAATGTAACATTAATCACTTAATTAACATTCAAAATAGATGCAGTTTTAAAATATGCAAACCAATGAATGTCGTAAATCATTCATACTACATACCATGTAGACCATGTTAATACAATTTACATCTCAAA